AGCTCAGCAGCGAGTTGAGTGCGTCTGTAGTGGCTCCACCAGAGTTCGGTAAAGTCAGCTTGATATTCACAGATTCGGACTTCCGCCATGAATATCTCACGAAAGCAACGTTGTTAAACGAAAGTAATGGTGCCAAAATGATCACCTCTACTTAGGCTAACTACTACAACATCGATTTTTCAAATCCAATGCGCTGTTTTAATGCGGAGAAATCCATTCAATCCAAGTGCCGAGAAAAGCGCATAGGGAGCGTCAACAAGTATCAATACCAGCTTTGTAAACGAACAATAGCTGTTACTTGAAGCCATGTACACGCACAGAACTCTAGGACACAATAAATAACTAACACTTCTAACTTGTACAACCTTTGTTTTCAGCATTTGTCTCTTTTTTTTATATTTTTTATGATGAAATATGACTACAAATTTTGAATAACTTTTTTTCAAAAAGGGGCGTGGTCACCAAATTCTCAGGTATGATCAATAACTGCCATATCTAACTACTACAACCTTTGTTTTTTGTATTTTTCTCTTTTTTATATTTTTTATGATTAAATATTAATATGATTTTTGAATAACTTTTTTTCAAAGAGGGGCGTGGTCACCAAATTCTCAGGTATCATCAATAACTGCCATATCTAACTACTACAACCTTTGTTTTTTGTATTTTTCTCTTTTTTATATTTTTTATGATTAAATATGAATATGAATTTTGAATAACTTTTTTTCAAAGAGGGGCGTGGTCACCAAATTCTCAGGTATGATCAATAACTGCCATATCTAACTACTACAACCTTTGTTTTTTGTATTTTTCTCTTTTTTATATTTTTTATGATTAAATATGAATATGAATTTGGAATAACTTTTTTTCAAAAAGGGGCGTGGTCACCAAATTCTCAGGTATGATCAATAACTGCCATATCTAACTACTACAACTTTTGTTTTCAGCAGAAATATCTTTTTTATATTTTTTATGATTAAATATGAATATGAATTTGGAATAACTTTTTTTCAAAAAGGGGCGTGGTCACCAAATTCTCAGGTATGATCAATAACTGCCATATCTAACTACTACAACTTTTGTTTTCAGCAGAAATATCTTTTTTATGTTTTACCAATACAGAAGTTGTAGTAGTTAGATATGGCAGTTATTGATCATACCTGAGAATTTGGTGACCACGCCCCTTTTTGAAAAAAAGTTATTCAAAATTCATATTCATATTTTATCATAAAAAATATAAAAAAGATATTTCTGCTGAAAACAAAAGTTGTAGTAGTTAGATATGGCAGTTATTGATCATACCTGAGAATTTGGTGACCACGCCCCTTTTTGAAAAAAAGTTATTCAAAAATCATATTCATATTTAATCATAAAAAACATAAAAAAGATATTTCTGCTGAAAACAAAAGTTGTAGTAGTTAGATATGGCAGTTATTGATCATACCTGAGAATTTGGTGACCACGCCCCTTTTTGAAAAAAAGTTATTCAAAATTCATATTCATATTTTATCATAAAAAATATAAAAAAGATATTTCTGCTGAAAACAAAAGTTGTAGTGTCTGGCCCTGAAGAAACAGCAGTCTGTGCCCAGAGCGAGAGGTTAGTGATGCTGCTGTAAAGACGAGCTACCTGAGTGCTAAGTGCTAAAAACATAGCATTAGCATCGCAGCCGCACAGCGAGAGAGTTTGTTAAAACTTACAGGCTGCTGACATGGTCTGAGAAACCACACAACTTTTGTTTTCAGCAGAAATATCTTTTTTATGTTTTACCAATACAGAAGTTGTAGTAGTTAGATATGGCAGTTATTGATCATACCTGAGAATTTGGTGACCACGCCCCTTTTTGAAAAAAAGTTATTCAAAATTCATATTCATATTTTATCATAAAAAATATAAAAAAGATATTTCTGCTGAAAACAAAAGTTGTAGTAGTTAGATATGGCAGTTATTGATCATACCTGAGAATTTGGTGACCACGCCCCTTTTTGAAAAAAAGTTATTCAAAAATCATATTCATATTTAATCATAAAAAACATAAAAAAAGATATTTCTGCTGAAAACAAAAGTTGTAGTAGTTAGATATGGCAGTTATTGATCATACCTGAGAATTTGGTGACCACGCCCCTTTTTGAAAAAAAGTTATTCAAAATTCATATTCATATTTTATCATAATATGATCAATAACTGCCATATCTAACTACTACAACTTCTGTATTGGTAAAACATAAAAAAGATATTTCTGCTGAAAACAAAAGTTGTGTGGTTTCTCAGACCATGTCAGCAGCCTGTAAGTTTTAACAAACTCTCTCGCTGTGCGGCTGCGATGCTAATGCTATGTTTTTAGCACTTAGCACTCAGGTAGCTCGTCTTTACAGCAGCATCACTAACCTCTCGCTCTGGGCACAGACTGCTGTTTCTTCAGGGCCAGACACGTATCTTCTGTCTTCCGACACTCGATGTCCACTTTTCGCCTTTTTGACAGAGACATTTTGCTTGGGTGTCAGTCACAGAACACGCTCTGGTGGAGAGTTCGGTAAAGTTAGCTTGATATTCACAGATTCGGACTTCCGCGGTGAATATCTTACGAAAGCTACGTTGTTAAACGAAAGTAATTGTGCCAAAATGATCACCTCTACATGGGCTAACTACTACAACATCGATTTTTCTAATCCAATGCGCTGTTTTAATGCAGAGAAATCCATTGAATCCAATGCGCCGCAAGTGCCGAGAAAAGCACTTAGGGAGCGTCAACAAATGCCAATACCAGCTGTGTAAACGAACAATAGTTTTTATTTTAAGCCAAGTACACGCACTAAACTCAAATACTATAAATAGCTACCATATCTAACTACTACAACTTTTTTTTTCAGCAGAAATATCTTTTTTATATTTTTTATGATTAAATATGAATATGATTTTTGAATAACTTTTTTTCAAAGAGGGGCGTGGTCACCAAATTCTCAGGTATGATCAATAACTGCCATATCTAACTACTACAACTTTTGTTTTCAGCAGAAATATCTTTTTTATATTTTTTATGATTAAATATGAATATGAATTTTGAATAACTTTTTTTCAAAAAGGGGCGTGGTCACCAAATTCTCAGGTATCATCAATAACTGCCATATCTAACTACTACAACCTTTGTTTTTTGTATTTTTCTCTTTTTTATATTTTTTATGATAAAATATGAATATGAATTTTGAATAACTTTTTTTCAAAAAGGGGCGTGGTCACCAAATTCTCAGGTATGATCAATAACTGCCATATCTAACTACTACAACTTTTGTTTTCAGCAGAAATATCTTTTTTATGTTTTTTATGATTAAATATGAATATGATTTTTGAATAACTTTTTTTCAAAAAGGGGCGTGGTCACCAAATTCTCAGGTATGATCAATAACTGCCATATCTAACTACTACAACTTTTGTTTTCAGCAGAAATATCTTTTTTATATTTTTTATGATAAAATATGAATATGAATTTTGAATAACTTTTTTTCAAAAAGGGGCGTGGTCACCAAATTCTCAGGTATGATCAATAACTGCCATATCTAACTACTACAACTTTTGTTTTCAGCAGAAATATCTTTTTTATGTTTTTTATGATTAAATATGAATATGATTTTTGAATAACTTTTTTTCAAAAAGGGGCGTGGTCACCAAATTCTCAGGTATGATCAATAACTGCCATATCTAACTACTACAACTTTTGTTTTCAGCAGAAATATCTTTTTTATATTTTTTATGATAAAATATGAATATGAATTTTGAATAACTTTTTTTCAAAAAGGGGCGTGGTCACCTGAGAAACCACACACTGTCACCAACATCATGTTGCCATTGATGAGAGACTGATGTTACTGATGTCGCATATTCATTTGTGGTGTTACTGAAACTATCCCAGAGGAGTTTTGAGCACTGGTGCTGGTGCTGCTGCTGGTGCTAGTGTTTGGACAGTGTGGACTGGTCCTGCGCTCTCAGCCTGGTACCGATGGTTAAGACAGGTGTTGTGACAAAGCTGCAAATGGAGGTGATAATATTTGGACATTTGACTGTATTTTACACAGAGACACTGCTGCAGTCGTTAAGAATGGATCACGTTATGGAAGTTGTTTTGTTCATTTCAACTGAATCAGGGTCAGTTTGATGCTTTCTCTCTGATAATAACATAACCATGGACCTTACCACACTGAAGATGGTTAATGTGATAATAACATAACCATGGACCTTACCACACTGAAGATGGTTAAGCTGATAATAACATAACCATGGACCTTACCACACTGAAGATGGTTAATGTGATAATAACATAACCATGGACCTTACCACACTGAAGATGGTTAATGTGATAATAACATAACCCTGGACCTTACCACACTGAAGATGGTTAAGCTGATAATAACATAACCATGGACCTTACACACTGAAGATGGATAAGCTGAGGTGCTGTGTTAAAGTGCTTTTTTCTATCTACCTACTTTACCTTTGTGATCAAATTTTCTCTGTAATGAGCCTTAAAACAAAGCTAACATACAAATATTAATATCAATATTGTGAAATGCCATTTACAATGTAATATTGTAAATTTCATTTGCCCTATGAAAAACTCAAAGATTTACATTTAAAACTGAGTGAGTATTAAAGGACAGTGTTTTAAAGGAAGTTTTAAATAAATGTGTATTTGTGCACAAAAAGTTGGACTTTGTACCGTTTGGCGCCGTGGCAAGAGCTCTGGTGTGTGTCTGTTGCACACTGGGGTAGTCTTGCAGTTTTTCCAACGTGGTTTTACTGCAAATGGCAAATAAATGAATCTGAATCTGTTTTTGGGTATTTTTGTAGAGCATCTTCTGGTCCGGCCCAGTTGAGATCCAATTAGGTTGTATGTGGCCCCTGGACCAAAATGAGTTTGACACCCCTGATATAATGGATACTAATCATGCATAATAATGTATGCATACACTCTTGTGTGGTCCTGTCTCAGATCTGTCTCACTCACCAGACAGTGATGTAGTCATAGATGGGCTCTGTGCTCAGGACGGTGAAGTTGATGTAGATGCCATGTCCTGGTGGCACCCGGACGCTCCACACACAGTCCTGGAAGTTTGGGTACTCCTCCGGATGTCCAGGGGAGTAAATGGTCCCGTTCAGCGACGTAATGTTTCCACCGCAGAGAGCTACATCAATCACAGAACATTTAAAAGAATTAGACCTCCAGCAAATGAGTTCTGGCAATAAGAGTCGCTGGTAATTGTCCTACTGAGTGAAAGAGTACACGTCGTCATTAGTTGCATAATGACCACCCAATAGTACGCTAATAACATTAATAAATTGCCCTTTTATTTTATTATAGCTTTGTGACTTCAGGTGAGTTCTGGAGTGGGTATTGTTCCCCTCAATGCTGCCACAGAACATATTATACAAATGATGACGTGCTGAGACTTTTCAATAGCTTTGAAGTCCACACTTAACATCATTCTAGCGTGCATTACACAATCGGACATATTTTTTCATGGAGTGTTTTTCAACCCTTTCTCAAGAATCAATGATGCAGACGAGCTCCAAGACAGGCAGATCAGAAATATTCTGAAAAAACCCTCTAAACCTGGGGTACCTGATTTTATTTTCTAAACAAATTATGCATGTTATTTTTCTTGCAAAAGTAGTGTTTTCTGACCATAACACGCTGTCTTGTTTGAAAACATACTTATTTGTAAGAAAGAGTCCTTATATATTATTTGACACTTAAGGCTGAAAAATACTTGCATGTGCAAACGCGAAAATGTATTTGATTGATTTTCTTTTTGTTGTGGTTTGAAAGGTATAGTGAACATACCCCAGATTTAAATCTCTTGTGTCTAGCATAATCGCCAAGTTTCTCCTATTTTATATAAGGCTGACATATTCATTGCTTGGTAAAGTTGACAGATCCTATCTCCACTTTCACAGGACATGCCGTACATGGTTGGAACCCAAGTTAATGTCTAAAAAAACATGTGATACCATTGATGATTAACGGCACAAAGCACCCTCATGGGGATTACCTTCACATCTTGGAAGTGGGTGGTTCCAGTTGCGGCTGATTCCATGTAAACAGGTCAGAGAAGTTTCACCGATGAGAGAGTAACCGGGCTGGCACTCGAAGGACACCGTCATCCCCACGCTGAAGTCAGTTCCTATCACGTTACCGTTTCGAAAAGGTCGAGGATCCGGGCAACTCTGGAGCTGGTATGCTTCAGGAGAAAAAAAGATGACTCACACATTGGAAATATTAAAACTGCAACATACTTAAATGTTCTGCCTAATTTAATTTTCAAAAATATAAAAAATGGTCTTTCCTGCACAATTTTGCACAAAATTTCTTTCCAGTGGATGATTAGAAAAATGCATAATTCATGAGATGTAATTTGCACATTTATCGCATTAGCCATAACACATTAAGGCCAGCTGAAATATGTTTCATAATACATGTTAAAAACCTGAAAACCTGTTCAAAAACAGTGAACCATTTTATGTTAGTAAGAATATAGACTATAGCATAATGCGTGTGGCGGCACTCAAGGCTATAGAGAGCTTGTACTTTACTGACAATTTAAAAAAATATAATAATAATGAGTATATACTGTAAAATATATTCTGCATACACACACTAGTGGGTGAGACTGTGTGATACAGGGCAGTAGTGGTACCTTGGTAGGTGATGTGGAAGCCTGGTTTGTTCTGGGAGTAGTCGCTGTGGAAGAAGAAGCTGGTCTGGTGCGTGGTACTAAACAGGGATTTGGGGAGAAGGGGGCCACTGAACCGGTCTATCACAGAGCCAGTCTCCAGAGAGCCGCTGCGGATCTCCAGGTAATCATGGATGGCCTCAGTGGAGAAGTTCAGGAACTGGAGGTGGATGCCTGAAAAAACAACAGTAAGTGACATTTCCACTGATGAAGTGTCAGGCGTCCAAGATTGAATTGTAACATTTCAGACAGACATCCATGTTACCTCGATTTTTGAAACAGTAAGTCATCAATAACTATTCATACACACACACACACATGCACTCACACACACGCACACAAAAACACACACACATACTGTATATACAAACATGTATACACACCCCAACAAAATAATCCAGGAATACAAAACAAAATGCAGAAATTATGTATACTACTACAACCATGACTACTAAAGTAGACACAGATGACTACAGCAAGATTACAGTCATTTCAACTTGAGTACTGGGGCAAATGAGCCAAAAGCTTTGTTGGTTGACCCCCAAAAAAAAAAGGATAAGGGAAATTGAATTCACAGAGAAACCATTTTAGCAGAGAAACAAGCACAGTCCCATAATAAGAAAGTTCTCATGTCTTTACCAAAGCCGACAGGTAGGTTGACTGTCCATGTGCAGTCTAATCCACTGGGATAGTTGCCAGGGTAACCGGGACTTAGGATCACACCGCTCACATCTGTCATGGACCCACCGCAATGGGCTGGAGAGAGACATGGGATCAAAATCAGCACATAAACTGAAAATGCTGAAGGGATGTTGGATTTGACAAATAGTACCAAAAGGACATGTGTCTTTTTTTATCTTTCCAAAAACAATTCTCCAACAAGACCGGCCGCTCTTACCTTCATGCCACGCTAATAAAGAGTGATAAGAAACAACCCTTAAACAGGATAGGCCACTGAAGAGAAATTGTCATGGCCCTATCAGGATTGTTTTGTAAAGCACTTGGAGTTGCCCTGGGTATGTGCTGAACAAATCAACCTGCCTTTCCTTACGCACTGCAAAGTTTATCTGCATTAGATTTGAAGGATTGTGGATGGATTTCTTTTGATGGTCAAACAGGGAGCAAATTCTGGTTAGAGCTACAAAAATTAAACCAATTAAAACAATCGTGAAAAATAGCCTTTTCGGGAAAGCAAAAAGGACAGCTCCATACCTCTATCTAGCGTTGCGCTCACAAAACGCCAGACGTCTGGTGGTCCCTAAGGTCTCAAAGGTCACTGTTGGTGGCAGAGCATTTAGCTACCAAGCTCCTTTACTGTGGAATCAGCTTCCCATTTATGTTAAGGAAGCAGATACGGTCTCCACATTCAAGGCCAGGCTTAAAGCACTTTACTTTAATTTATCATATAATTAGGTAATATATAATATGTAGTGTATATATTATATATATATGCTGTATTATGTTATATATTATGTTATATATTATTCAATAATGTATTGTGTTATGTTGTATATTATGTTATATATTATGCTGTATGTTATTCTTTATTCAAGGCTAGGTTTAAAACAGTCCTCTTTAGTTTAGCATATGGCTAGGAAGGTAAGACTCGGAGAAGGTTAAACTCCTCAGAGTGTTAGTCAAGCTGCATAGGGAGTCAGTTTGCTGGGAGAAGTATGGTAACTTGAGCACTATCCTCTCCTCCTTCCTACTTTATCTGTTTAGCATTTTTAGGATTCTGACTGTAGTTTGTTCATTGCTATTCACCCGTTGTCCCATTGTCTGTTTCATGGTACGATGACGGGATCTCTGAGCCTGGCCTCTTCCATCTACACCTGCGGACTGCCCCGCCCGACCCGCCTGGGAGTGCTTCGGTCCTGCACCGGACCTGTCCACGTTCAGCGGCCACTGGTCCACGTTCTGTAGCTAGCTTAGGTCCTGGATCATTAGTCTGTCCGTCCGGAGGAGCGGATCCCTTTCTCATATGGGTCTCCCTCCCTGTGGGTTTCCCTAGTGCTCCCCAAGGTTTCTCACTTTTTCCCACTGGGTTTTTTAAGAGTTTTTCCTTGTCGATGCAGGAGGGTCTTGTTGGACAGTTAGTGTCCAACAGAAAGGATTGGTGATGATCAGGACACTTTAGCATTCTACAACATGTATGGACATTTTCTTCTGTGTGTGCTTTATACTGTATTCTTCATGTGTTTTAACTGTTGATTCTCTGACCTGTGTTGGTGATTTCAATGGTTTTGTTAAGTCCTCTGAGATGACTTCTGTTGTGACCTAGGGCTATACAAGAATAAATTGTAATTGTATTGTGTGTATCTAATTTGGATTTGTTTTGTTTGTATGGATAGATGTATTTCTGCAGCTACTGGACAACTGAATTTCTCCAACAGGGATCAATAAAGCAGTATCTGTCTATCTATCTAATGTATAACAAATGCTACTATAAAAGCATTTCAAAATCATCTTGAAAACCTAAAAACTACCTATTGTAAAATGCAGAATTAGATGCAGCTCATCCCTGCTTGATGATTTCAAACTTGACATTTTGCATTATCTTCATCCCTATACATATTCTAATCCATTAATGGCGCCCGTGGTGAATAAATCAGCATTGTACACGCTGATTAGCGTCCAGACCGGGCTTCCTCCTGTGCGCCCTGGTGCATGCTGATGCCTCCACACACTGTGCATGTCTGTGGCTGACCCCGCCTCTGCGCACCGGTTGAAAAGCGTACTCAAATTCCAGTTCAGAATACTAAATTATCATCTCAAAGTAGAGACAGTCAGTTGATAAAGCAACTTATTTTCATCTGAGTCAGGGAATAGGAGACTTGCATCATCCCTGCAGCAGTAATGGCCTGCATAGAGTGTATAGAGTATTGTGAGTGCATGTGTGTGTGCATGTGCGCGTGCTGTTGAATACTAACCGAGACAGAGAGGCACCGGGTAGTTCCATCTGCGCACTGGCCCCGGCATACACGTGATATGGGCATTGCCCTGTGTAAGGGGGAGAAATACATTGAGTCATCACATCACGCAAATTAGATCCGACTTCGTATATGCACTATTCATATATGATCTGATTAGAACAGCAGAATATCAAAATTGAATTTCTGCAGAAAACCTTTGCTGGAGTGTGTAGAAACCAAAAGCTTGCTTCTGACAGTTTAATGTTTGTGTTTACTGGCATCAAAAAACAACAGTATACAATGCTTTCCATCATTTTATGATTAGATGTAAATGCAGCGGGGGGGAAAGAGTATGTGAGGTTCAGGTAGGACCATTAGAAAACTACTGGGAGTTTTTTATAGGATACAACAGAATCCAAAACCAAGATAATTTAATGAATACACAATTGCATGGATCAGGGAAAAACACTACTTTTATAGCTGTTGAATGATTTTCACAACACCGTTTGTAGAGTATTAATGCACTAATAGTATTGGGGATCAGAGCACAGTACAAATAAAATAATCCAATTCATAAAAGCGACTGCATAAAACTTTCAGAATGTTTTTGTGGTTTACTGCAGAAGACCTTGTTTACAGATTTCACACTTCCTCTGCCAATCCAACGTGAATGATGCATGAAAGACCTTGGCGTCCAAACCACAGCAATCATGTAAGTTGTATATGAGAATGAAGGAACTTCCATTAGAGTCTTGTACGGCTCAGAATTTGGAAGCAGCCCACGCTCAAAGACATTCATTATTCAGGAGTTACTGAAAACTACACCAGGCCTGCACGCTCTCCTGCGGAGAAACACCCAGGAGTGGGGTTTCCTCTCATTCTTGTCCTAAATAATTCTGGGTCTGAGGAGGATGAAAGAAGTGTATGGACTGAGATGAGAGCAATGAGGCTCACTTAAAAATATGCATATGTAATTGTCAGTTATACATAAGTCTCGTTTTAACTTTGAGTGGGAAGAACTTTTTGTCTGCATGTTCCAAAAGATATGGATTGGATGAAACATGAGCAGAATATTGTGTGGTATGAAATCCACCAAACACCCAGGGTTTAAAAGCAAATCATTGTCGTTATAATCATGCAGAAAGACATATGTACCTGAAGAGAATATCCTTGTTCACATGAGAACTGTACCACATCCCCCACCATGAAGCGGTCTCCCACTCTGACCCCATAGCTTGGTGTCTGCGGCTCTGGACAGGACTCAAGCCCAATAGCTGTGGAGAAAGGCAAGGTTACAGAGAAAAACTTTTACTGTTTTGGCAAAAAACAATCTACAATGACGCTGCATACTACCTGTGTACTCAAGGTGAAACCCAGCTGCCGAGACGCTGATGTCAGAACTGAAGCTCAAATACAGGTTGTTAGAAGTACTATTGAGGAGCTGTGGGATGGTGGTTCCTGTAGGAAGAAAAACAACAACATGAGAACTCCATACGCTGTGCTTTAACTGAGGCTTGAAACCAAATGATCTTTGTAATCTGACAGCAGCAGGAACAACAAAGCTGTCCCAAACCCATATTTTGACTCTTTTTAAGATCAAGAGAGAGCCAGGCTTGCTTTTTCATGGTAGACAGCTGGTGTATTTGAGTCTACCTTTCAAATGTAGCTTGACCTACTTAATGTGGCAAAGAAAAGGGGAGAACAAAGTGTGAAGTGGTTCAGTGTTACCCATGCGCAATAGCGTGTCAAGGGTGCCTGTGCAGTCGCAAACAACATGCAGAGCACAGAAAGAAAACTCTAATCTGCTTATTAGAGAGAACATGGTTATATAGGCCTGTTGAGGTGAAGGAATAACTTTTGAGTCTATAGTTATTTAAAAACAAAATGCAGAATACACGCACACAAAACAATATACTGCTTTTATCACAGCACTTAGCTTTATTAAGGCCACCATAACACTGCTAATCATCACACTTATTGCTGGACTAATTGCTGCCATTACAACAACCAATGATTATACTGTATTTGCTCCCACCACACTCTGATTCTATTATCTCTGAGATGAAGAGCAGTAGAGAGACTGGTTTTGCTGCTGCAGTGAAAATGGGGAGAGGTAAATGTTGAAATAAACAGGAATAATAAGGAAGAATCGGTCACACCCTTAAAGATAGAACTTTGTTTAGATATAGGGCGATTAGCTTGCGTTTGAGTGTCAAGTCGGACAGCAAACTTTTTCTGCAAGCTGGAGAAACTCACTGACAGCTTTTTGATCAGCTCCCCTGCTGTTTCGTCCACATTTGGGCAAAAAACCCGACTCATTATCAAGACAATGAAAAAAAAGGATTTCCCCTTAATAATTAATGACAATGAAAAATGTACTACATGCACATTTTGAGATATAGGACAGATTTCATTACTAAATGTTAAAAAGTTTTTCATATTTTTATAATTATTTTTCCAAAGTATCATACACACTACAAAAAAGGGTCCCATAGATAATTACATCAATGGGTTTAGAACAACATTGGGAGACATAGCTGTAGTCAAAAACGTGTTCTAGATACTTAAATTAGATGAGCAATGCTGTCCTGAAGTTGTGCAGTGTGTCAAACAATCACTTCAATATTGACATATTATTGAATACTTTTTTTTACAATTCATATATAATTTACAATCAATAAATTATAACAAATTATAAGGCTTTTAATTTAATGAACAAAGAAATGACACTATTCTTTTCATTCCTCACACTGTGATGACAAAACTCTGCCCTCTGACCACCACCAATCATTCACACACCAGACTCATTTAAGGCAATGTGGTTGAAATGTCTTGCCTAAGGACACAAAAACAGTTTGGCAGAGGTCCCCCACCCAGACCCTGTCCTGCCTACACAAGGAATTTTGGATATCACAAGGATCCATTTAAAAAAATGGTAGCCATATATAATGTTGGTTTCTCTGAATTATCTAAATCAGCCATTCCCAAACTCAGTAACACCGAGGCCCCCTTAAAAATCTGACGGGTCTGCGTGGCCCCCCAAAATAATAACCAAGAAGACAACATTAAGAATAGGCTCTTCTGGTAATTTTATTTTGAGGAAATAGCCTCTGCTACAAACATTGTAATACAAAAATGATTACAGTGGATTATTCAAGTCAAATAATGAACACAAATATTTTAATATTACAAACAAAACATTATAAATTTAACATTAAATAATTACATTATTATTATTATTATTTTATGACCTCCCGCGGCCCCCCTGCAGTACAGGGAGACACTGATCTAAATAATAGATGGATAATCATTTCAATAAAATACATATTTATTATTTCAAATGAAAGTTGAATCTTAATATAAGCAATGACGTTTTTAGTAAATTACAATAATATTAGAATACATGCAAATCTTTTTTACTAATATGTTTTCCTTTATTCAGCACATGTTTTCTAAATGTTTGGATCCATGAAACTAAATTGAAAACTGCCCATGACTTTTCCTATACTATAGTACTGTACCTACAGTATACTATAGTACTGTACCTATACTATAGTACTGTACCTATACTACAGTACTGTACCTATACTACAGTACTGTATATGAGGTTGCGTAGCCTGCATGGGTGGATAAGCGAGGACCGTATTTGGTTTATGTACAAAGATATCAGAATCAAACAGTGTCCATTACAATGTGCATTTGAAGAATGAATTCACTCTGAAGGAATACAGCTTCAGGAGTTTACAAATTAATTGTTTGATGATCCTCGACTTTGATTGAGCTTCTCATATGTTTCATGTACTGTTTCTGTTCCTAGCAGACACCATCAAGACACAATTAGCAGAGTGGGAGACATTTCTCGTGAGCTTTTTGAAGGCTCTGCACACAAACAAGCAGGTGTCAGTGAGCGCCTCCCCACAGAGATGTGCAGAATGGGACCCGCTCAGAGCAAAGCAGGGGGCCAAACACTAACATATTTCATGCTTCTAAACATTGAGACAACACACAGTCTACTCAGTTATTAATAGCGTGTCAGTTTAATCATTTTATATTTACAATCTGGTGAATGATTTCACTGTCAATGGCAAGAAAAATAAGTCACTAGTGAAGCTCACAAATAATCCTACTAGATGTGGATGGATCAGTGCTTTTACCAGAGTAGCTGCCCAGGCGTGGTGCATGGTTGTCAGCACCATCGTAGAAATCCAGGGAGTCCCAGTTATGTTCAGTAGCAAAGCTCACAACTTGAATCTGAAAAAATAACATGGTGGAGAAAGGGTACACAATTAGGCACAAAACAAAGCCGTGTCAAATAAGTGTGTTTTTACAGAGTCATTAGAAAGGACTTGACTACAAAATTCTCAACTTTATTTTTTATTTAACCATTATTAAACCAGGAAAGTCCCATTGAGATTAAGAACCTCTTTTTCAAGGGAGTCATGGACAAAACTTACATACAGTTACATACAATTATAGATTATAAAAACAATGTCTGTTATTACAGCTACATATACTGTATGTTTGTCTGTAAAGCAGCTCAGAAAGAGAGACGTGACCTGTGGAAGGCACCTCTATTATATGTAACCTTCTTCACCGCATGAGTGCATAGGCTTTTGTGTTTGGTCATGAAAGCAGTTTAGCTTACACGCAATCGGGCCAATCTGTCCCGATTAGATCTATCTCCTTATCTGCGGACGGTCCTCTCTCACACACACCATCCATTCAACCCTCTCCAATAATATCTTATCTCCACTCACATCCTGCAGGCTCAGCTTTTAAGCCAATGATACAGAGGTCAAGCAGGAAGCGCCGTTCTGATGGTGTTACCTGTATTCCGGCCCCCTCGGGAACAGAGACCTTCCACAGACAGTTCTGGTTGTTGTCGTAGGGCTCGGGGTATCCGGGTGACAGGATGGTTCCACGCCGTGCGGTCAGGGCACCCCCGCAGGGAACTGATGTGGGACAAATAAGAGAAGGGGAGGAACAGGAGGAAAAGGTCAAAGTATTTTAAGTAAAACATGGTATACGCCGAGGGATATGACCAGTGCGCACTTTTCAACAGAGGACACTTGCTAATAATAGCTATGTCACAGAAATAAGTTTAAAATAATCCTGTTGTATTTCTATATTTCCACCAAAATCATGGCAGACCATTGATCTATGCTGCAAAACTGAAGAATCGTCTTGTTTCAATGGCTGCAGTGGATAGAGTATGAATCAACAGGTACATGTTCATGAAATTTCCTCTTCTGAGTCAGATCTTATTTGAGGCAAGACTTTTTTAATATAGTACATCATACTTGTCTTTGAAGTAGCTTTTTTATTGCACAAATGCACATGAATTTGTAGAGGGGTTTAGAATAAAATGCATTCATGATTACAACTGTGAAGCATTGTGTATGGGAGTTGTGTATTATCCTAGATACAAACCACTATTTAAAATAACCTTTTCCGACCCAAACAAAAACATTTTACCTATACAAGTTGGAAGTGTGTCGTTCCACTGGGCCAGGTTGTCCGGCACACTTTCGCAGCGAATGGCGATGGACCCGTGAAGGACGTATCCAGGGTTACACTCAAACTGTACCAAAGAGCCAACTGCAAAATCATTCCCGAGACGTTTCCCAAATCGTGGCTCTGGAACCGAGCTACACTGAGTTGAACTTGTTCTTGGAACGGCTTTAAGAAAAGAAAAATATTGAGAGTAAAAAATACAACAGCCTTACGTTTTTATCAAGGCCATTCAGTCACGGACTAACCTTGATAGACAAAGTGAAATCCTTTTGCGGTCTCTGGTCCTACCGTGGTAAACTTGACCGTGACTTGGTTGCCTGTACTCAGAGGGAGCGACTCACCTGCACAGAAAGCGCAATTCAATGCTTCGATACTGCCTTTTTTATTTATCTTATCTAATGCATTTAGTTTACCAGAGTGCGACCCGGAGAGAGAAGAGAGGAGAGTGTTTTGCTGCGTGGGGCCATCATAGATCTCCACCACATCGTTCAGAGATGTTTGGAAAAGCACGAATTGCCCAAACAGAACTGAAAAGAAGATAGAAGATTGTGTTAAAGTGGTGATATATTTTACTCATTCAATACCATTGTCGGAGCCTGACCTTGAAATCATCAAATTAACCTCTAAAACCTCATTTAAATTATATTCTGCTCCAGCGTCATCTTCTAGTTTAAAGCCACAAAATTACATATTCAAGCAGCTGATAATCAAAACATCACCTTGTCTGCAGCTTAACCATTGACCACTGAATCTGCTCCTACAATCTACAGGGTTAAATGGATGTAGATCTGGCTTGTACGGGACCACGATTACATACAAAGTTGAATCTGTGCATGTTATTAGAATGTAATATCCGCCTGTCTGTGATAAGTCATAGAAGAAATGACCTTTTCGGTAGTACAGTACAATGGTGATACACTGGTTAGAGATATAGGGAAGATACCAGTGGGATCTTCATCAAAATTGCTAACAGGAAGAATGTGTGCAGTTCTCACTACTAACTCTTGGACAAACACTTCAAGGGAAATCATATGAACATGATTTTGTGATTGAGATACAGTATATTATGGTGGATAATAGACATAAAAATGCCTATCGGTTTAACTAAAGTTGCAAAGGCTTGGAAAATAAACGTTTCATCTCTGTATTATATGTCCTTGTTATTGAGATTTCAGTGTAATTCTATTGTTTATCATAATTTGTGCGAATTCAGCATGAGGTCTGAGAGCCGACAGACGACAAAGAGCATGAGTGAATAGGCACAGACTAATACCCTTGTGTCCAATAACCATGTTGTAATGAATAGCACAACATGAGCTGGACATAAAACAATACTAACTCCAGTTGGATATTCACCTTTTTAAAATATGTTTTATTCACAAATTCTCTAAGGTAAAATGGCAGTAGTAGTGCGGACATCTATGGTGGCTCTGCTGATCTGCAGCCCATGCCTTTTTGTGCATTTATATATTTGTCTGTACGTGTTTTAATTCTGATTTTTTTTGTACTTGCTGTTGCACCTTGAGATGTACATTGCATATGTAAGGTGCGTTATAAATAAAAACTATTATTATTATTATTTTAGTGACTTTCAATGCAATCCCTTGAAGTCGAGCTTAGAAATACATTTTAGATTGTTAATTCTATTTCATTCTGTCTAAAGAATTCAGTTCAGACATAGGACTGGATCTCAGTCATTGCTCTTTCACTCCATGACTACACCCTGCCCTTTGTCCCAGGAGGAGAGGTGTAAGGATTAAAAGTGAACATGGAGTGAACATTGAGTTATAAGAAGGTCAGTGGTTCTGCTGTTCTCTGCAGTCTTGAATATCCCCTCACTTTTTCCATTCAACAAAGCATGGCCAAATATGACCACCTGCTTCCAAACATGTGTAAATATTGTTTGATTGTTTAATGTAGCATGTGATTTACAGAATGGTCCATCATTTGACCAATTCTCTTATTTGGTCAATGCCTGGACACATTACCATGCATGTACAGATTTAAAGAGTGATTTAGGTGAGTAGAGTGAACAAACGATACCTTTATTAGTCCCACAATGGGAAAAATTACGGTACAGTGGGAGATATAAGTTTCAGACGGCACGTAGTCACGTACAGAGGTGAGGGGGCAGAATATTGAATGGACATAAAGAAATTGTGGTTGTCAGCAGAAAATGGTTAAAAGCCCCCACAGAGTATGGATTTTTAAGGAAATGTGAATGATTAGGGTTTCCATCATTCCCTGCTGGTTCATTGATGTGGTGCAGAGCAGGTGGCATGATCCACAGTGTAAGCCATCGCAAAACTCATTAGATTTACAACATGGTGATATGAGGAGAGTGGCATCACAGCCATTATTTAGAGTCACACAGAGACACCGGCGATGGCTGCTGTGTCAGAGTCAGAGAGATGCAATATTTTATTTCAGTATTAAATAATAAGATGAACGAGGATCAGCAATCTATGATCTATTGGCCAAACACAGACTTTCACCGAGCAGTCTGAACTTTATCTAGGAATAAATGGAATAAATGGTTAATAATTAGACGAAGCTTGAATATTGTATAACTCTCTGTAGCACTAGAGTCAAATCTAGTGCTTTCTCCTGGACCAACAATATCTTACCATTACATTAATGGATGCATAATGATACATTAATGATGTACAAATGTTTTACAGTGACGTTATTAGTCACATTGATCTAACCTCAGCATGATCTAACGCTGCAGCACCTCAAGGGTCACACAGGAATATGAAACCACCTATACAGTTATCACATATACATCAGTACGAAGTTAGTTGATGAAGACGAGTCGGCTGGCTAATTAATAGTGCATTACTTTTAATTGGCTGAAGCTCACAGATGGCAATACATGCAATTATGTCTTCAGAGGGTTGTTATGCCAACTTTACACTTGTCAACATGGCATCAGAATGAGATCTCAACATCAATCATTCAATGTCATTATTTATATAACAAAGAAAGAAAAGAATCAATAAATATCTGAATTAGGTCAGAACACCTTCTTAGAAATGTGTCAGCTGTTACAGAACAAAGCTCTGCCTTTATTCGTCCCACAGTGGGGAAATTTCAGTGTTGCATCACAAGTTATAGAACAGTAGGAAAGAGGAGCACACGGCACAAGTTAAGTGAACCTCTACTAATCTCTAACTCTAGCATCATTAAAAGTATAAAATCTCAATCAGACATCAGAGTTTACATCATGTGACTCTGTATTTGCCATTGCCGTTGCCAAAAAAACCTTTATCTTATACTCTCTGTTCTCATGTTCTCTTTATCGTCAGTGTATTCTCCAAGGTTAGATTGCAGTTATTTTAAATAACCAGCAAGAGGTTGCTAATTTTTGGGCACTTGTCTCTCACTCCACAGAGGTTGCCATGCTCACCCATTTACATGAATTCAACGTGTAAACGACTTTAGTAGTTTTGATTTGTATTTTTGGGAAAAGAGAAAATTCATATTTATTTACAGTATTGTGCAGCTTGTTTTATGGACATTTTCAAATGTTATGGTAATTGTGTTGGTCAGTGTTCTCCACTGCCTCCCGGTGGTCTGTTTTAAGCTTCACTTGCGACATGCAGTGACCATAGCAACATGCGTTTAGGTTGCATTTTAATAGATTTATTAAACCAGTAGGCAACAGTGTATAGAAGAGCATGGTTAATGGTTAAGCATATTTTAAATTTAAATGTATTCCTTAGAAGTGTTTTTTATTCTTAATTTTGTATCTCTTTCTGACTGTTGCACTGAGCCAAAGCAATTTCCAAGTCTGTGACTTCCTGTTACTTACGTGGCAATAAAAAATATTCTGATTCTGATTCTGATGGTTGAAGTTAGAAGCTAGTGTTTGAGAGACTGAACTCACCAAATTCTCTGGGCACAGATATGGAGTAGACACAGGTCTGTCCAGAAGTGTAGTTTCTGGGAAAGTTTGGAGATAATACTGTGCCCTCTGTCCCAGTGGACCGGCTTCCACACGGTGCTACACACAAAACACAAACCTATTATCAACAGGAAACACTCCGCCACAGCAGCTTATATAATGTTAGGGCCCGAGGTAAATGACAGATTAGGATGTTTCTATCGACACTGTTACCTTGACAACTTGGTAAAGCCCTGTTCCACCCTGGTCGCCCATCGTCCCCCATACTGCATGTGAGTGTTGAGTATCCCTAAAGTGAAGTTCAAAACGTTAAATCATTATTACGCCTAAAACTAGTGAACAAAGCCTTTTTTTGGAATTATTGGTCATTCAACACACATTTACTAAACACAATAAGTTTACACAATTTATGATTATTTACCTGTAATACATATCCAGCTTCACAATAGAAGGTCACAGTGGATCCAAGTTTATAATCAGATCCTAGCCTTGTCCCGTTCAAAACAACACCAGGATCAAAGCAAGACTCTCTTAGTTTTGCTGCAGTGAAAGAAAGAGGGGGGAAAAATGAGTTAGCTTGAATAATAAAAAACGAGCTAACACGCAGTGACAGACATACATGCATAATAAAGAGGAATTAATAATAAGTATCCCTCTGGGTAATCGAACACGGCAGGCGATTCTTTGGCCTTTGTCGCAGTCTCTTTGACTTAGTCGACTTTCTCAAGGATTCAACACAAAGCAAACCTTGTGAACTTTGTAAATTATGGATTTGGCTCCACTCCCAACATGTAAAGAACCATGCAGTGGTGCTAATGTGAATGTACAGTTTTGTGTCGTAAACAGAAAAAATCAAAACATCAAATATAAATATAGAGAGGATATCATTGTATCAGTCGTTTCGCAAAAATTCTCCACAATTTTCGGTGACCGAGTTGTAAAAGACATTATATTTGCTTTGTGAGAATTTGTGTTTATATAAAACATGTGGCAATAGGGGTATTTTGAAGGTCTTTGGAGGAATATACATAAACCTTGACAGTGAATCTAATGACATATAACAGTACCTTTGTATTCCAAGTGGAAGCCAGTGTAGGACACAGAACCATCGCTGCGAAATGCTAAGTGCATCGTGTTGGAACTGCTCTCGATGCGCTCAGGGAGTTTGCTGTCCTGGAAACTCCCGATCAGAGGACTGTTGCTGTCCGGGCCGTCGTAGATGTACAAGAAGTCATAGTTTGGCTCAATGTTGAAACTAGAATAAACAAAAGGATTACTTACACACATGATTTTATAATTCTAACTGGTATGGCAACAGTTGTTTTGTGTAAATTTGAAGCAGGACTTGGATGGATGTAAAATGGATGCTGTTATTCTGTTTTGAAGACTGAAAACATTAGCTGCTTTAGTAGATACTCAATAATTCATATGCAGTGTTTGGTGTTGATGGATTACAATGACATTTTAACAGTGTCATTGAAAGTGAATCTTCACTGTTGTCATGCCCTTGTTTTCCATTTAGTGCCACTATTGTCTTAATGCCACATCAGTCTTGTGCCTAGTGCTGAAGCTTAGGCGGTTTACCTAATGAAAGCCAGTGAAAGGACGTAGTCAGAGTTGACAGCAATGAGCCAGTCGCAGTCCTTTGAATGAGGATAAGGATGCGGGTAGTTCGGAGACAGAATAAATCCATTGGAGCCTGTGAGGTTTCCTCCACAGGGAGCTGTCATATGACAAGAAAGACATAATGCCGTAAAAACAATAATGGTAACAATAAAGCACAGAATACTGTATTCTCTGAAACAATCCAATAAAACTGTCTTCACTGATGTTGAGCATTGTAAATATACTTTATGAGATTTTCCAGTTTAAAACACATTAGCAGGTCAGAGATGTCCTTGAACAAAGTAGAAAATCTTACAATTTTCATCCATTACATAGGAGCAGTGGTCTCACCGATGCAGACCGGCGGACTGGGCTGCCAGTAGTATCTATTATCCACTTGTATGCAGGTGATTTTGTCATCCCCCTGGAGCTCGTATCCCGGGTCACACTGAAAGGACACCGAGTCCCCTGGCTCCCGCCCATCCCCACTCCTGCTGCCGTTCATGGGGACACCAGGATCCCTGCAGGCTGTGGCCACAGAGCCTGGACATGGACAAGGGACAGAAGAAAGAGCGAACGAGAGGAAGGTCAGGTAAGTGCACTGGTAGTGGTACAAGCTGTACAGGTCTAATATATTCTGTGGTATAATGTCACCTATGTCAAACAGGAGTCATTTTGAAGTTAAGACTTTCATTGTATCTTCTGTGTCAAATGTCAAACATCCAATATGACAAAGTTTTTCAATGGGTCAAAGAGGGTATTTGCTCCACAAAAATAAACTTGATCCTTCACAGCTCATTTTCAATAACACTCCTATAAACACAGGTTTCAAAGTTTGCTGCTGTGTGCCCAGCACTTACTTGAAAACTGAATAGCAAATCCAGACTTGCTGATGTAGAAATCAGTTTCAAACTGGACCGTGACAGTGTTGAGTGTGGAGTGGATTCCCTCGGGCAAAAGAGACCCGCTCAGCTCGGCCAAAGACATCTCATTCTCAGGTGGGCCATCCCACACCTTCAGCATGTCGTGACTGGCTTCAGTGTCAAAAGAAAGAAACTGGAGGCTGTGGGGGTAAGAAAAGACAATTCAAGAATTTAGAGAAATGCAAAAGTGTAAGTTACTAAGGTAGAGCTTCTCAACTATTTTTAACCCCTCTAACATCTTTTTATTCGCTCAGAAAATGAACTCCATTTAGTCGAGTAGTGACCTCTTTGAGTCACTACTTGACTAAATGGCTCTGAGTTAATTATCTGCACCATCCACATGCACTCTTAATGCAAGGGGAAATGTAGGTACTCCAGCTTTAATTGTGTAAGTTTTAGATATGCTTCAGGAGGAAAAAACATGGAAACTTTGTGAGAGTCCTATAATCTGTGTGTGTTTCTTACAGTAGTGTTTTGGCTGCGTGTACAGGCTGCACAAAGAATGGATGTAATAAGAATGTTCTGAGGGAAACAATAAATACAGTGGCTTGAAACTCCAGACATTTCCCACAATTGGTCCCAATCACAAACCAAACATTTTCAATATTTTTTTTCCAACATAAAATTACAAAAAATCATGTAAATAACTTAATTTAAATAAACTGAGTGAAAGAGGTCTGAGAAGAGAATATTATCAATGAAAGTCCGAGGAACACACGAGAGGTCAGGGATAAAGTTGGGGACAGTATTGATAGACTATTCAAAGGTATCCAAAGCGTTGCTAACTGTTTAATCCATTGTCAGAGAAGAGATGGAGCATGTTACAACCGTTTGAACAAGGACATGACTGATCAGAGATACTGTACACACAAGGGGCTAGGGTAAATAGAAACTCAGAGGTGAAATAAAGCCACAGAAGCAAAGTGAGGGACAGATTCAACATGTGGAAGATACTATGTTCAGATGAGACCACTATGGAACTTTTTTGCCTCAATCCAAAACAGTATACAGTATTTAGTTTAACTAACTCTACGCCCCATACTCCGGATCAGATCTGGTGGTGGCAGCATCATGCTGTGGGGCTGTTTTTGTGTGGCTTTTAATGGAAAGGTGAAATGATAAAAATACACAGCAAACTAGAAAGACACTCTGTTGGAGTCAGACTCCATCAGAACTATTTCCCTAAACATAACACTTTTTCATTGATTAAAACATCATATTGCCCAGTTAAGGTCCAGACTTAAATCCAATTGAGAATTATTGGTAATATCTATAAAATGTTTGTAGGAAAAGATTCCACAAAATATTAGCGCAAGGAGGCTGAATATGTATGTATCATTTTGCTTTCACCTCACAATTGTATGTCACTTTATTATTTTCTAATAGTGTTAAACTGTTTTCTTTCTTGTGCCTAAAAACATCAACCATGATATATTTAACCAGTAATATAATTAACAGAACCAGCTCACCATCTCTGTTGTCTATATGGTCTTACCTCACTATATTTCCAGAGTCGACTTCAATAGTCCAGGTGCAGCGGAGATTGTTGTCGTAGGGAAATGGGTATCCAGGTGACAGGATGCGACCCGAGGACTCTCCTTTGAAACGACCACCGCACTCGGCTGCAACACAGCAATACACAAAAGGGGCATGAGCTTGAGTCAATATTAATATACAACATATCCCCAACACATGTTCCCAAAGACTGTTTATCTGTTTGGTTAGCCCCATTCAATCAATCATCATCAAACACATATGTCCACTGGCGCTGTATGACAAGCAAAGACCTTATTTGTCCTGGTTTATCAGTGTACTCAGACTCGCTGCGTGCAAATCAGCAAAAGAGAGTGATTAAAAGATCAACAGAGAGACAAATCAATTCAACAGTTTGTATAGATAGATGGGATAGTGCAAACTGTATTTGAAAACAAGAACATCATCTACAGTTGTATTGTGTCAGCTATATCTCCTTGGAATTACCCAGAAGTCGTGTCTTGTCTGGAAATACATTTCTCAGAGGTGTTTCTGAATGCGAAACTGCCGCAGATGCCAGGCGCTTTGCTGTTGTGTCCTTGAGCAATATATTTCCCTCACCTTGGATCCGGTTTCTGTATAAGTTTATGTGTTAGTGACTGTGAATGTGGTGCAATGGATGCAAACTAATGTGTGTTTACGGTGTGAACTACGTATGATATACAGTCGCTTGAGTCCTGGATCTACAGCCCGTACGTCTGTTGAAGCCAGTGGGGACGGGTCCCAGCTCAAAAGTGGCCAAAATGACGTGTGCTGACATGCTTGCAATACCACCCCGGGCCGATGGGGGTGGACCCAGAAGTAGAATTAGCCAATGCTAACATATAGCGTTGGCAGACCTCTCGAAAACGCCTTTACAGGATGGACCAAAAGTTGGCTCTTGGCCCAAAGCTCCGTTCCACATGTGTGTCAATGCTGAGGGGGGTGAATTGTTTTGGTCCACTCTAGTTTATTTGCTGTGAATTTTTGAATTCCCTCGTTCAAATGAATGGAGCTGCGCCGGCTGACGCATGTGCAAATGCGTATTTTCACAATTTTCTTGTGGGCGTGACTCTGTCCGTGACTCTGTCTGGTAATATATACAGTCTATGGTTGAAGCGGATCCCTCTCTCAATGTGGTTCTACCTGAAGTTTTTCACTTTTTTCCCACTGGGTTTTAGAGTTTTTCCTTGCCGATGTATAGAGGGTCTGTTAGACTGTTAGAGGGTCTAACAAAAAGGACAGTGGTGATGATCCAGGACACTCAATATACAAAAACATTGATTGGACATTTATCAACACTTATGGACATTGGTCAACTCCCTATGGACCAGTCCATATGTGTTCTCTATTCTTTGTGTTTTCAAAGTTTTTTTTTTTTTTTTATCTTCTGAGACAACTACGGTTGTGAATTAGAGCTATACAAGAATACATTGAATTGAATTGAATTGAATGAGGGGGTACCATACTTTCAAACCAGAAAATAATGGGAAAACCAGAAAATAAAGTCCCTAGCTCTCAAAATAGTTTGGTTCTATTCATGCATTTTTGGTTTTTGTCCCAATTCAGCTTCTCAAACATAAATGTGAAGAATAAAAAAGCCCTTTATTCTCAAATAGTGACTCACAAGCCACTTTCTTACAAGTATACACAAGATAACATGCTTTCTAATAAAATGAAGACCGCATGTTGTGATCTGTCCACAACATTTTACTCTCCTTATTTTGGGGCAAATACAATGTATTAGTTATGATCGAAAAACTTTAGGTACCCAGCTTTAATGTAGACTTTTTCAACAAAATAAATCTGCTATCGGTGAATGAATAACTTATTTGTAACACATATTTTATAGTCTTATTTTGTGAGTTGTGTGAAGCGCCAAGAAAACGACATTAGCAAATTAGTGCCTTCAGTTTTCCTCAACATAGTTTTCAATCTTTTTTAATTGAAGTTGTAAAAGAAGCTAAAAAGCCCAAGTATCTCTCAAGGAGGAAGGCAAAGTGCTGAGCCAGCATTTTCAGCAAAAGAAAATCATTGCACATTATATAACCCTCCCAAATAATTCCCTGCTCTCTCTTTGTCTCTCTTGGTTATATATTTTCACAATCTCCATCCTCTCCCTTGCTTCCTCTACCCTCGGTGTGTTCTTCCTGCTTCGGGCTGCCCCTCACTTTCTTCCAGCAGAATACATTATCAGGAATAATAGCAGCAATATTAGGAGCAGGGAGTGAAGTGAACGAGGCAAAATAGAAAGAAAACCGCAGAGTAAAAATTGGAAAACTTACGAGCAATAATAAGACGCCATATAATATTAAGACTGGAGGTTAGCTGAGGTCACACGCTGCTAAAGTATAAAGTCGCCGAATATAAGCTACTGGTTTTATGAGTGTTTCATTATTGATAGTGAGAAGAAGGGAGACTTATTAGGCTGAATGCGAAATCACGAAAGTTCAGAGGAAGTGGAGAAAGCAAAAAAAGGTGGTTAAGCATTAGGCCAACGTTATGCTTGTAGCACCCATCTGTGGAGCAGCTGCAGCCGGAGCTGTTTCTTTGTGGCTGCCGTATACAGGCCCGGCATTTGTTTGACTTTAATTAGAGAATGCAGTCAGTCAAGCAGGGGCCTACTGGGAAGGACAGCAGACATCTTTAAAGACACAGATGCACAAATGTAGAAATTAGTTATAGAAAGCTGTTACTGAATGTTGGATTAAGCCAAATTTAATTAAGATTTATTTTTGGGTTTGTGCCTTGGAGAGATGGAAGAGAGAGCGGAAAGACAGAAGAATTTGTGGACTAAAATTGGAGGAAAACCCTGGAGAAGTAGTGCACCATCAGGTGAGCAAATGTGGTGCTCCAGATGAAGTTATTTTTAACACGAGATAAGAATCAGACTCAAGTCCTTGCTCCTCGCCATCAAAATTGAACAGAACATTAAATTAGTCATATATTTGCCAATGTGTTTGTCATGTGATGCTGTATTTGTATATGTAACAGACAAAATGTACACTTGAATGCAATCCTTTTCAAGCAAAACAAAATAAATGTGAATTTCAATCTGCTATTCAAACTTGCACTATCAGGGTGAAATTTCACAGTCAATTTCAGTTAATCACAGCCCATTCAAAATACTAACACTGTGTGAACACAAAATTGAGTATATTATTCCTTATAGATAAAAGATGTGCATGTAGATTTTTATTTATTCATGCCTTATTCTAATCCACTTTAACTTTAACTTGTTTGCACCGAGAGCCAAAGCAATTGATTTCTTGTTACTCACATCGCAATAAAATAATTCGGATTCGGAAAACTATCATTTTAACATTATAGAGTAGGGATGTCAAAGTCAAATACATCAGAGGCCAAAAAAAACAAATTTGCTACAAGCCGAATGCCGTTCTGGTTCAATGTTTATTAAATCTGATTGAAATGATGACATAACCTACTGATAACCAAGACCTAACACAGTGTACCATACTTTATTTAATGATTAAATTAATAATCCAATATTTTTGTTGTTATTTTCAAGCGTAAAAATGTTCGACAGCTCACAGACATAAAAAAAAGTTCTTTAAAGAGAAAAAACATGTCCTGAAAATTAAATGAATAATCTAATGTTTTCTTATGGCTCTGTGCGGCCGGTTCTAATACTAATCAAATATCATCTCAAGATAATTAATTTGTGGTCCTGATCTGGCCCCCGGGCCTTGACTTTGACACCCATGATATAGAGCTATCACATGATCAATATTTTTTTTAAAGAATTTTTGATATTTTGATACCACTTTAAAACGGCCTTGGCTAAAAGATACCTCCACTCAATTACAATCTGAAGTCAGGCCTTGAAAGTATGTTTTAAGCCTAATCGTGTAACGGCTTATTCAAAACCGAAGCTTGTACTTTTGCAGCAAAACGGGAATCAATTAAAATGAGATCGTGAAGCGACTCAGTGGGAGAAATACTATACACGCGATCAGGTGGAGAGAGAGGAGTGGAGGCAGCGTGAATGTCTGCAAACACGACGTCGTCAGCAAAACAAGAAGAACTACACAGCACTATGTCCGGCTGTTGGAGAAGAAGCCGATCAATTGGGCAGCATCCAGGTAAACTCTCCTGAATAAACGGTCTTTTTCCCACAGCCTTTAGAACGATCCACTGGTGCAATATCAAAAGGAAAATAAAGAATCAAATCCCAGGGGAAATTGGCGCTCCAGCTGTGTTTCCTTCCACATTATTGAGCGTTTTTGGAGGACTTTGCATGGAGGCGATAGTGCAAAAGAATCCTCGAGATTTTTCACATGATCACAATGTTCTCGCCATATTCAAAATACAAATTAGTCACTGCTTATGTTATGTCCTTTCTTCTTTTATAACGCGTTTGAATTGGTCTTGACCTTTGCCGTGTGCATATTTTTTTGAAGGAATGAAAATGACAATATTTTTGCCACCATGAACAGAGGTGGAGGGAGCAAAGCATGTGGAGTAGGGCTGGGACAACGCGTCAACGCAATCGGTGACGTCGACGCAAAAAATACACCGACGTATAATATGCGCGTCGGTGCGTCACACACAAAACAAAGATGGCGGCGAGCGGTAGCAATGCGAGTGCCGTGTTAGAGAAGTGCAAGCCGGTGTAACGCTGAGATACACTGCCTTGAAGAGATGCACAGCCTCAGTTGTTTATGATGTAATGCAAACCTGTGCATGCGCGTCTCACGGCAGCCGAAGCAAACCAAGATGGCGGACCGTGAATTTCTTTAAAAGTTAAAATACGAACGAATTCAGACACGAATGTCACTTTTAATGCAATTTGAGGCGAGATGTTGATGACTTCTACTGATGATGATGACTTCTACTGTATTCTTTCAGTAACTCTAAAAGAAAGGATGAGTGGTTGACCTTTTAATTTGCTACACAATGCATTGTTTTTCTCTTGTACACTCTTACTTGAATTTTATTTTTGAATTTTGAGTTTAAGAAAAAGGTGAGTGGCAGAGTTTTGACTGTTATTTTTATATGAATGAAGAATTTAAGAGATGCACTTTAATTAATGGACTTCAGTAATATAGGCCTATGTGTCTTCAACTTAAATGTTAAACTCTGTTGGTTCAGGAAGGACGCCATGACAGGCTGATGGCTCCCACTGTTTTTGCTGGAAAAGCACTCTTTGTTTAGCTTAAAGCCTTCAAGTTTACATTGGTTACTGTTTTCTTTTAGTTGCTCTACACAAGTATTTGGCTGAACTTTTTCATATTTTTATTGAATGCTAAGCATCAAATGTTTGTTTCAAGAATGATAAGATGCACTTTTTTCAGTAAGCTGTGTTTTCAAGGCTTTAAGGCTTTATGCTACCTCTAAGAATGTCTTATTTTTTAATTTTAAGAGAAAGCAATAAATATTTTTTGTGAAGGAATTCATGTTTTTTTCATTAAAATATTTAAATCAACATGTATACATCAATATTAGTCAATTAATGGGGAGATAATCGAGAATCGAATCGAAATCGAATCGAAGCGAAAAAAATAATCGTTAGATTAATCGATGCATCGAAAAAATAATCGCTAGATTAATCGTTTAAAAAATAATCGTTTATCCCAGCCCTAATGTGGAGGTCAGAGAGCGGTGGGCTATTCACATTTAATTTGGTCGAGAGCCTGACATTCGGACACGGAGCAAACATCAGGGACAAAAGCAGCTTTAAAGTGTTGTTTTGTTGCCATTTTTCAACTCGGCTGTTCAACTTTTTAAAATTTAGTTCAACCACTGTCTTTTTGTTATTGTTTTGCTTGGAATATTTAACTACAGAGCAACAAGCTACAATACAGTTCATCATAGGCCGTTTCTTTGCTGATGCAGGAGGGTCTGTATAGTGAGGTCTATCTAAAAGGCCAGTGGGGATGATCCAGGACACCCAAAATTCAACAACTTTGATCAACACTTAAGGACATTGGTCATCTGCCCCTTATGAAAAAATACCAATGTGTTTTCTGTTTGACTTCTTGTGTTTGATTCTCTGATCTGTGCTGGCAAATTCAACGGTTGTAGGTAGGGGCCCCGTCTATAAGCTAATGCAGCTTCCTGGGAGTTCCCTTTTTACAAAACATCAACCAACCCTACACTGTAAAAGTGTATAACCTATATGGCTACAAGTTTTGTAAATAAAATAATTGAATTGAATTGAATTGAATTGTGTAAAGTCCTCTGAGATAACTGCTGTTGTGATTTAGGACTATACAAGAATAACTTGAATTGATTTATACTTGCATTCCTACAAATATAGGCTCTTCCTACAGGTTTAAATGTCAATATTTTGTCAATCTCGATTAGATCACATTTAACTCAAGCTTCTCAGCAACAAGGTCCTGGCTTTGAAGGTCCCTCCAGACAGAGCCTTTATGAGTGGAGTTTGCATGTTCTCCCTGTCTGTGTAGGTTTCCTCAGGGTGCTCTGGTGTCCCCTACCATTTCAAACATGTACAATAGTTCATCTCTTTCTGCGGCCAGAACTCCCCCGAAAAAGACAGTTGTTTAACTTGGTAAATAAAGGCAAATAAATACATATATAAAACACCAACACCATTTCAACCTCTCTGGAAGTATAAACTGTACATTGGTGGAAACCTTTAGCATTCATGTCAGGAAAACAAAAGAAATATGGACATTAGTTGCTACATAGCTTCTAATTTATCCATTACAGAACCTGCAGCTTGATATCTAATATTAAAGATATCAAGCTGCAGGTAAGTTAATTTTGTGGTTGAGTGTGAAAGATATGTGCATGATAAGACAATTTGCTAATCACTTTAGCGCACATTCAAGTCCTTCATAAATAAAAAATGCAAATTAGAATATATCAAAATGGCCTTCAGTCTCTCTTTTTCCTCATTTTACTCTCAGAAAAGGATTCCAGCCTTCTAGTGTGTTTTTAAAAAATCTTAATATTGTCATATTGGAAATATTTAAGCGGTAAATGAATAGAAATGTTATGCGTTTCAGAGGGATTTGACTTCAGAGCTTTGTTTTCCAAGAACCAATCTGAAGGACTTGACGCACGCACAAAGTAGGATGTCATTTCACACACTTTCACACTGAGACAGCAGCCCCTCGTGCCCCGTCCCATAACAAACACTGCACTAACCAATACAGGAAGGCAGAGGATTATCCCAGGCGCGGCGCTCTCCCGTCATACACTTGAGCGTGGTGGCTCCGTGCAGCGTGTACCCAGGCTCGCACCGGTACGTGATGCTGCTGCCGGAGAAGTGTCCCTGGTCGTTGACCTTGAAGCCAAACTGTGGCACCCCAGGGTCCTCACAATGTGATAACTCGAAACCTGGAAAGGCGAGAGGAAAATGAGGCAAGTCCTTTTTCATGGGATTTCATGTGTGCATAGCGAGGTCGAGCAGTGGGACGTATAGCATCAAACATGAGAAAAACAAGATCTGGGTTATTGTTATAAAGCTGGGGGGTTGTGATGTCACACTGTGTCTGTACACATGATTATGGGATTAACAGCAAGATGCTTGACAATTTGAAATGAATCTGAGAGTAAGAAGGTCCTGGGTTCGATTCCAACTCCAGACCTTTTTGCATGGAATTTGTTTTCTGGGTATGTTTCCTCCAGGTGCTCCGGTTTACCCTATACCACAAAAACATGTACAATAGGTCTGCTTTAACCTCCTGCAGGTGACCCCACTCCCATATCTGTGAGGAGTGAGAGACAAATGCCCACAACAATTGTAACTCTGGTCTGTGAAAGATGCCATATATATAAATATTACTTACTTATTGATAAAAGGCATCTATGCCAGTAGCAACCACACCTATTTACAGTCTATGGTAGTGGCCCAGCAGTGAGGCCAGTTATTTCATGGCTTTTTGTAACTTTTTACATTGGACCTCAAAGGACAAGCTGCACAACTTGCTGCAAACATGGTGGAATACCAAGTTGTTATGTTAATTTCAAGCTCTGTACGCAAGAACTTTTTATATGTGAGGTTATAGAGTGGAGAGCAGAATTGCCTATTTTATAAGCACCCATGTAAATTTAATGCCAAAATATGCAATCATTGAGGTACTCTATCAGGCACCCACATATATATTTCGTCCCTGTTACCATGGTGATGTTCAGGTTTTGTTTATTCTTGTTTATTTGGAAAAAGGAAAACAGGTGCTATAAATATCTTATCCCTACCTGACAGCTGAGAGACAGAAGATTTAGCCTGTCTTCTTGAGAAAACAACCGAAAATTATTTAAAGAAGCTATACATGTATAAGGACAGTATTAGAAGAAGTATTCTTCCCACTGCAAAAACAAGAAACATTTGCGCACATTTGGCAAAATGTTTCTTAATTTGAGCCCATTCTGACAAGATTTACCAAGCAAAATTATCTTCTTTAAAAAAAATGAAATGTCTTCCTTGGAATGAGAAAATAAAGCAATAGTTTTTGAAATAAGACTAAATGGCTTTGTCTCATTGGAAAATCTGTTGATTTAAGCACGTATTACATCATGCTTATCATTTTTTGCAGTACTAAAAGTTTACAAAATTCAGACGAAAACAGATAGTAAACAAAATTGACAACACAAACTAAAGTAGTAACGCGGCCATCCTCAAAAATGTGTCTATTCACACAGTTCAACCTTTATAGGTAAATACATAGGAAATGTAAAACTGTGCTGCTTATGAGGAACTGGCAAAAAGTCAAGAATTATTTTTTACAGAGAGAAAAGCACACAAAATACCCTGGCTTTTATACGCATCATATTTATGTATTTCTTTTTAGTAACTCAATTATTAACATAATAAGTTATGCTCATTTGAACCATGGTTCAGAAGACCTTTCACACTTCAAAACATTATGAATTATTCATTTACAGAAACGTACGCCCACAGGCTTTTTTAGAATCCATCTACCATAGTGTCAGAAAGAGTAAAATACAGTAAAAGTCAATGCGGAGGGGAAAAGTGAGCTATTGAGAGATAATTAACTAATGCTGCACTTACAGAAGCTCGGAGACACTAACTTCAGAGGAATGCAAATGATCCTCACGTCTCTATTTAAACAATTAGGTTTTCTAATTCAGCGGCTGATCTGAGGGGCACCGTGGATGAGGGTGAAAACGATGCACCTTTTAAAAACCCGTCCCACACAGAATATTGAAGCTCTCTCTCTCTCGGCGTTTGCTAATCACTTTTGACATGTTTTGTTTGATCGCTGCTGTGGGGGAATGTACTATGAGTGCGTTTAGGGTTACACTAAATCAAAGATAAGTGCACACGTCGCTTCTGCTGAGGTGTGATTAAGCGGAGCTACTTTGGGGATTGCGGGAAAAGGTTAACGCCATTTGCGGCGATTAAAAAGGCTGATGATTTGTGTTTATAGTAGAACGATAGGGTCAGGGGAGGGTGGGCTCCAAGCGTGTTAAGGTCAGGTGGGGCATATGTCAAAAAATCAATCAGCGCAGTTGTCGTTTGTACCTGGAAATCTGTTAAAGTAAAGTAGTTGTTCATTCCTTTCAACTTACAACACGCAAAGCAGAGACAAAACAGTTCAAAGCAGCCGTGTGCACAGAGAAAAATGGGTTGTGGTTCACATATCGAATCACAACAAAAGGACCCATTTTGACTCCAACATTTTGTTCTGCTAATGCACATTTAGTCAACAGTAGACGACCACATGACGTACTATTAATTGAGTTTTTCGTGTATTGTGGTAATTTCAGTATTGTGACTGGAGTAGGGATTCGCACATCAATACCTACAGATCGGCGGTGCGTAGGAGGAGAGGCCTGTATAGCCTAATGTCAAAGAGAGAGAAATCCCGCCCGTCTTGCTTGCAAATTGAAAATTATTTATTTGAAGTGCTGCTCAATTTCAGTATTGTGGTCATTTGAAATTAATATGTAGCTGTAACGGCCCACGCCCAGTAATTTCCAGTCTTGGGGATCACTAGTATTTATCCCGTGGCGTCTCTGTGTGTTTGTTTCTGGGTCTCCCCATTGGCCAGTCGGGAGCTGATTAATCGTGATGCCTGGGTGCTGATTGGGCAGAATCAGAAGCAGTCCACCAATCGCGCATGTTCACCTGGAGGACCCGTCCGTACAACCTGCCAATCTTCCTGGGCTCGGGGCAGCAGGAGTAAGTGGACTCCAATTTGTTTGTGTTTGTGTTTTGTCATGTGTGTCGCCCCTTTAAGATAAGATAAGATTTGCTTTATTTATCTCACATAGGAGAAATGTACATCTAAATAAAAGTTCAGTGACTTTTATTTAGATTACACTTTAGTTTAGATTACACTGTTGGTTCTGTCAATTACTTACTCGTTTTATAGGTTATTAATTTACCCGGTGTTTCGTAAACATTTAATCCCATTCCTTTTACCTATTTTTGTCTTCATTTTTTCAAATAAATTATGATTTTAGTTACCATTTCTTCTACATCTTGGTTTTAATTGTTACTTCCTTACTCCTAAACTGACCAGGGTCGTAACAATGAAGTATAATTCTAATCTCCCAGCTCCATCTGCAGTGAAGCATTGTTATGAAATGTATCAACTTCAGTCTATGATAAACCTAAAATTATTTTCAGAGCTGAAGTGCTTCGCTTTAACAGACCTTGACCGGATCAATTATTCAAATACATGCATCCGTAATATCAACAAGTGCCGCTCATATTAAAAGTCCTCCTGTGTAATTCATTTGCGGAACCCAGCACATATATTAAGACGTGGGAGTTTTCTTGCAACACTTTCTTATAATAAAGTTTAGTCAAGTCAATACTTTACATACTTTTGAAATACTGTAAACGGAAAATGTGGGTGATACTCGGGCGCCAGAAAATAGAAAATCTAAGTAACAAGGCTGCTCTTTGAGGATATAAAGCCATAAGAACTCTGGTCGGTCAATATCTGGAGCTCAAGGATGCTAACATACACCAAAGGACCTTTTTATATTCCACATCAGAGACCCTTGTAGCAACTGATAATGTAGTAACAGGCAAATAACTCAATAATTCTGGTGGGATGATAATGTATTTACGTTATTGGCTGGTTATTTGATTTTCCTTGCCGATGCAGAGGGGTCTCAGGACAGCAATGATCCAGGACATAATATTTCACGGACATTAGTTATCTAACCTAAGGACAATGGTTTATTTGTGTTTCTTCATATTGCATTTCCTGTGTTCTAATTCTCTTATTCTCTGATCGGTTGTTGGCGAATTGACATTTTTGCAAAGTCCTCCGAGACAATTACTGTAGTGGCAAATGTCTCGGAGGCTATTCAAAAATAAATTCAAACTCTCTAGACAAAAATGAAAACACAGTATTGGCTGATATAACGTTATCTGTTTGTTCCTACGTGCTTCTAATGTGTGCTTCACTGCCTCACAATGCAACCCGTTTGCGTGCAGCCACCTTGACCTGTTTGAAATTATGTCATTAGATTTGCTTTTACAAGATTTTAAAAGATTGCTTTTTTTTATGAATGCACAGCAAGTAAACAGCCTCTTCCCGACCTGGCTAAATGTCTAATATGCAGCAGCTATTGTGCACTTACTTGAATATACCAGTTTGAATCCTTCCCCTGTGCTTTCTCCATCGCTGAAAAACTCCAGCCAGAGATGATTGGAAGTGGATATGAGGGTTAGCCCCAGCATAGACGTGCCGGTGAACGCTCCGAGAACATGGGCCGTGCTGTCTTTCCCGTCGTGCACCTGTAAAAATAGCACGGAACAATCAAACACGATGGAATTTTGCATCTGTTATTCACTGTGGGATAGTGGTGGTGATGAGTGGTACAAGAGGCAGATGTCAGACATGCAGAATGACAAAGGACAATCACAAACTGCCTGTTTACCTTCAGTATGTCCCCCTGGGCCAGATGAAAGGTTCGTGCTGAAATGTTGATGCCTTTGCCAGCCTGCACCTGAGGGAAACATCACACACCAGAGAGCTCAACAAAATTAACAAGCACAGACAAATGATTGACAGGATAGCCACAATTCTGCAACAGTCTTTCCACAACCTGAGAAATCTTAGAAAAAAAAGTGTTCTCTCCATTGCTGATCCAGAGGAAAGTCCTTAAATAGTGTCTCTTATGACAAATCTAATCTTTAAGAAGGTGATCTACTTCTGTATTCTGGTTATAATGCGGAAGTCAAGTGATAATATTAGTCCATGTATTAGTTGGGGAACAGGAAATGGTTTCATATTTCATAAAGCTGCATCATCAGATAATAATAATAATAATAACGATTGCATGCTAGCGGGTTGCAAACTAAACCAATATTTCATTCGTGACTAATTAGAAATGTTTTTGAGAGTGGCGTAAACAGCCAGAAGATGTGTAATTATAATAGCAAGACTCAAAATATATAAACCCAATATTGGCAGTTTCAAAGGAAAGTGTACGCCAAAATTCCTTTTCATGATACAAGGGATGCACCGATACCGATACTGGTATAGGGTCGATACCTTAGACTTTTACCCGTATTCGTACTCGTATCATAGGACCCGATGCCGGCAGCTCAAAAACAAGCTAGCACCACAAGCTAACCGTGCGCAAGCTAGCGGCAAGCGGATAGCCGTATGGCAGTTTTTTTTAAGTAAACAAGAGTAACGAGTAAAGCGCACAACTGACTGTACGTTGTGTAAGGAAAAAATGTCACAAGATGGACCCAAAACAAACACCCATAATACCAGCAACTTGATCAAAAATCTGAAAGTCACCACCACATGGAATATAACACCTTTGTATAAGTAGAGTATGACAATGGCTCTTATTGTTTACTGTTAAAACAATTGCTAAAATATGTAATTGTTAAAGCATTTTCTTTTTGTTGAAATGAGAAATAAAACAATTAAAATGTCAGTTGTATTAGTTTTATTAATTCCCAGGAATAACACAATGCAGTAATATTTACAGTCTGTGCAGTTCTTGTATCTGTATTCGGTATCTGTAAGTACTCTCTGGAAGTGCATCTCTAAAAGTAACTAACGCGTAAGTAAGTCGCACTGAGCTAAAAAAAAAAAAAAGTAAGATCACAATGTACATTTTGGTATTCATTAACGAGACCTGAATTATAATAAAATATGCAAACAATGTGGTAGTTACAGCTAAAAGGCGCAGCACTCTTTATTTAAAAATAAAACAGTATTTATCTCTATCCAAAAAATGTTTTTTTTTTTTTATTGAAAACACAAAAAAGTATTGCACAAATGACATAGACATACCTGTATACTGTATATGCACTCGTGGTTGTTGTCGTAGTTCATGGGGTAGTTCGGCGAGAGAAGAATCCCCTCATTGTTGATGACTGAAGACCCACACTCAGCTGCATGACAATGATATACGATCAGAATGTAATCAATATGTATTACTAACATGTAACAGATGTTTGTGCAGCATCAGAAATCAGTATTTTCCGAACAAGGGAAGGGGACAAAATACTGTTTTTTCATTCACGCTGTTTTATCTGTTTTAATGATTGGAATATTTGAGATGCCTCGACTGTGGCCTCTAATGTGTTTCTACTTATCTATTTCACAGTTCACAGAGCTGTTTGGAGATCACGTTCATTCCCAAATGATCCAAAGCAGGGGTGTCAAACTGGTTCCAGAAAGGGCCAGTGTTTTTATTCCAACCAATCAGGGGCATAGTAGACTGCACTCATTTTCTACTTCCGGGTGGACTTGTCTGCTGTGCTCCCGCTTGGTTGGAATGAAACCTGCAGACACACAGGCTCTTTGAGGACAGATGTGACCCCCCTGATCTAAAGTCATTAGAGCGCTCCATAGTGAGTGTGTGTGTGTGTGCATGCCTGTGCATTTGAACAGCTGCTGTGTAAGTCGCTCACGTTCATATAGAGAAGGCTGTAAAAGTGCAACGCTAATTTACCTAAATATCTGCTCGATTCACACACACGTGTCCTCTCCACACCCTGTCCCTTATCTTCTATTCATTCCCTGCCTCGTGCCTCTCTGCCGCCCCTCCGTGTGTCTCCGCTAGTGTAATAGTCATATTACAGCTGTCATATCGTCAATAAATCACAAGGCTACAGTTTCCATTTAGAAAATTACCCTCCACCCTCCCCCTCTTTAACTCCTTTTCTCCTGCTCAGCCATGTGCTGCTGTATAAGTACTGTCCTTGTTCGCTTCAATCTACAGCTTCTCCCTGTCTGCTAGTGAAAGTGAAAAATGTCTGAAATAAAAAGTTGTGGTAAATTTCCTAAAAGCAACAATAGCATAATAAATAGGACAACTTGGCACTGGTGCAAACTTGTGAAAAGCTTGACCTAGACACAAGGAAGAAAAAGAATCACAGAATTGTGTGTTCAGAAACTAAAACCATCCACTCTTTCAATTTAGATGTATTAAAAATGTGACTTTAGTTGATCAGATGTAGAATAGAATACATTAGTCTAGAATAAATAAGAATAGATGGAAACAGGTACAACACATGTCTAGAAGCATTCATGATACTGGTAAAAGCAGTACAGGGGAGACCTTTTTCTGATAGAGGCAATGCAACCTGGTGTCACCATGAAAATGCATCTATGGTGTGTCACACGTCAGGGACCTTGGTCTTTTCAAACATTGTCCCAATTTATGTTTAACAGTCTGAAACTTTGCTGTAAACACAACTTTGAAGTTGAAAATAAAATGTGTTGTTCTTTGATCCAAAATTAAATCATCGTTTTCAGAAAAAAACTTTTCCTTTTTTCTGCTGTGATGTGTTTGTAAGCGCTGCTTATTGATTTTAAATCTGCGCTCCATATAAATCAGATTTGACACACTTTCATCCTCTTAAACTGCCTCAAGTTAAAGGTACTATTATCTGCATCAAGATGTTCATTTAGCTAAGCCTCCCTGTCAAAGACTTTTCTGAAGTGCAATCAAATCACCATAAACCTAATCAGAAAGATCATCACCAACTTATGGGCTGCACAATTATTTACACCCAACTGTTTGGTGCTGTTCCCCAGAGAAGAGATGGAAACTAGCTGTTTAGCCATCATCTTTTATTAGCTTAATGTCTATACTCACTGCCTCTTCAAATACCGACTAAACTAAACCTTCTGCCTCAATCATTTTATAATCTCCAAGGACAAGAATTTGACCATAATGTTGTTAGAGATTGCATAACTCACTCGTACATGGCACCACATCTGCAGCCATTGTTGGACAAACACGGCTTCATAGGGGGCATAGACACATAATAATGTAGCAATAATCTTGCAATAATTGAAATAACTAGACCAATTGGCCCATGTGCTTCTTACCGCCACTCACTATGTGCACAAAGACTACACTGAACTTGTGATCCAATTATTTATGAAATTGACCAGATACAGGCTTGTATAGAGCACCCTCAACTATACCCCCATTGTCTCTTCTATAAGTGGTCAATTATATCACGTTTATTGCATGTACTTCAAGAGTTACAGAGGAACATTAATGCGTTTGTATCGGCTGAAAACCCCAGTCCACCCAGCCCCTGCCATACATTAACATTTCCTGACATTTACGGTTTGAGCAATGGCCGAGTTGCAAATGAATACAGATTTTATACAGTACAAGAGTCTGCTGGGGTCACCTGTTTATGCAAGACTCTTCAGCTCAGTGTGGATGTTCGAATAAAGGAAGTCAAAATTGAAAATACTTTTAGAATGATTTTTGCAGTTATCAAACGTGGATTTTTATTGCAGTGTTTGGTTAAAGTAGAAAGCTCTATACAAAATGATGAATGTACTCCAACTTGCCATAAGGAAACAAAAGGCTGCACTCCTCTCACAGCCCTGGTCCACACCTATTATTCAATACAGAAGCTTTTTATGTAGAGCTGACTTTTGTGGCTTTTGAACAGAGAATCCTCGTGGGTCAAGTACAAAATGTAGGTAAAGTACATTCTAATTGTGGTGATTATGGTGTTTACAAACTGTATGCTAATACTTTTGAAGTCAATATCTGTTTAAAGAAAAGTAATGACAACATGTATCATGTTCCATCAGAACGATTAGGACGTACCGACACATCTGGGCAGAGGAGCGCTCCACATTCTCCGCCCGCCTCCCAGACACACCAGCTCTGGTGCCCCCTCAAGCCGATACCCCACATTACAGGAAAATGTTAACGTGTCGCCAACTCCAAAACTGTAGCCATTCCTCCGTCCAAAGCGTGGCATCCCAGGATCTTCACAAGGCTCCAAGGTGTACTCTGGAAGAGGTCAAACACAAATATGATATTTGAATGTAAAATGTACAGTGTATGTTGTTTTACAAGACAATCTCAACATGTTTTAAAACATGTTAACAGTGTTGAAGGAATGATTCCGAGAATACTGAACATTTACATTTAGTAAATACATTTACACAAAGTACACACTTGCTTACACAATGAATAGTAAGTTGTCATTCTTTTTTTTTAATTTGATATAGTTTGATGCCATTTGAAGATGTAATGTATGATCAAATACAGACTGTATTTGTAATATCACAAAATGAAAACAGTAAGTAAAAAAAAAACATTGCAACATAATAGATTGTTTTGATTTTGGCATAAACTACATAAATATCTATTGCCACAAAATTTAAGAAATAACTTTTTGTTTGATTTCACGCTCATGACCAGTCCACAAATATTACTTCTCTATGCTTGGATTGAAAATGCAGTATGTCTTCATGAGCGTGCCGTAGGGCCCAGCATGTAGAGCACGTAAGAAATTGGCAAGTCCCATCTCTGGTGACACCTCCCATGTGTTATACGGAGAGTATCGGCTTAACGCCATCTGGGAGGCGGTAAAAATGTAGTGCTAGTACATTCAGATTTCTGCTATTTTTCCTCTGGAGCCAATGGAAGAGATTCTGTGACAGAGGCGTGATTTACGAGGGACACTTGTAGCCCCGGGCAGTGTCTGTCTTTGGCCTCAAACCTCCACTTCAAACAAGCGCTGACCCACTAACTCCAAAGCCAACAGGACCATGCACCAGGAAGACTACAGAGCAACAGACCCCCCAAAAACACATTCATATCGTTGTTGAGCAGTAGACAGAAAGAATAGTCCCAGAAACTGTAGTAGAGGGTTTAGTCCAGTGCATTTTTTTGTAGACCAAACACATAAAAACAAGTTATCAAATTACAATGCACATTTTCCTCATTTATGAATGAAACTCATCAAATTAGAACAAGATATTTCAGTAATTCAAATCAAAATGTGGAACAAATTTGGAAGATCATGGCTTACAGTTCATTATCAATAGTTGCTGTCTTTTTGGCATTGTTATAAGATGAAAGCCACAATAAAAATGCCTTGAAATGTATTATAAGTTGAAGTACAGTAGAGGCCAGCTGTAGTGGGACCCTCTTGGTAGACAATACTAGAATCATGAGACTGCAATGAGTATCATATGAATGGAGTATGTATTTACGCTGACATCCTGGAACTTTACTCATCAAAAAGTCATTAATTTAGGTTCACATATTCCGCACAAGTGCATACGACGTGAATGTTTGACACAACCTAAAAATACATTAAAATCTTCCAAGTTTAAAGGCGTTACCGGAGAAAGTGATGTTGAAGCCCTCGTAGGAAATAGAGAAGTCAGAGATGAAACGGAGCTGGGCTTTGAAGTTGCCATAGAGACCGGCGTTAATGTTGCTAGGTAACTCATTTCCTGTGAGACGGGCCAGCGGCTGCACGAAGCTCCCGTTCTCCGTCAGCAGCAGGTAGTCGTGCTGGTCCTCCAGGTGAAACGAGCTGAACTGGAACTGGACTCCTAGAAGGATAGAGAGAAACATGGATGGAGCTCAGAATCAGATTCATTTTATTTGCCATTTGCAGTAAAACCACATTGGAATACATTTGCAAAAGACCCCAGTGTGCACAAGACAAGTACATACATAAAAAAAGGTTGGACAGTAGGAGCCCCGAAATATTCAAAAGCCTCTCATTGCTTTTTTTTCTAATTGACTTGATGAATTTAGTTCCCTCCGTAAAGTTGGGTACCTAATTTTCAAACTGCAAGTAAGTAAGTAACGTTTATTTTTATAGCGCATTTTACAGACCAAGGTCACCCAAAGCGCTTTACAATATTCAAAGTTCAGATATTGCAAATATACCGTGTAATACAAGACAACAAAACAATTTGACTTGATATGTTTTACTTCTTTAAGACTCTTTTAGTTGGGTCAAACAATTTATAAAACTAAAAAGGTAGATACACCAGCGTTACTCTTCAGACACAAGAACAATCTCTCTGGCAAAAGTGAAAATGAAAACTAATGAAAACTTCCCAATATTTAATTTCACCTAATACTTCCCGTCAGAGGGAGGCTTCGTTTGTCTGTCTGGTTGTTAAATAGTTAGTTAGCGAGATAGCTCAAAACGTAGTGAGCGGATAATTGCTTAATGCATTTATCAAAGCTTGGAAACGAGACAAAGAATAAATAATGACGTTCTTTGTCCCATTTCCTGATTTTGTCAAGTGCTTTTCAAGTTTGAACTTTCACTCTGGTGTGTGTGAGTGTGCCGTGCCTTTGCCGTGGCTGACTTCCACTGTCCAGGTGCAGTTGAGAGACGAGGGGTAGCTGTCTGGGTATCCAGGACTCAGGATGGTTCCCCAGGGCCCCCGGACATCACCTCCACACAGAGCTGCACGGATCCAGAGCGATGGAAGATGGAGATGTGCAGTGACAGGGGACAAAGTGACATAAAAGGTCAGATCAGATCGTTGATAGTCAAAACAGTTTTCTAATGGGACTAAGTCTGTTCTGCATCATAACTATGAGAGTGTTTGCAGCAGGAGACAAAATTACAGCAGGATGACAAATATATAACAAGAGGGAACTGCTGTTGTGTGTGGAAAGAGGTGCAAACATGTTCACGATTATGTACTTAAGACAGTGTGCAATCAAGTATTCTCATCAAGCATAAGATCTGAGGAAGAAACCCTGAGTGCATTTCTTACCATACTTTCTGGACTATTAGGCGCACCTGTATTTAAGCCGGAACAATATTTTAAAATATAGAGTATATTTTTCAGCAAGTTTTTATTTTGTAATGAAGAAGATAGAAGACTTATAACTTGTCGCATGATGTAATAACGAGTTTTAACGTTAGCTTCCATGTTTAGTTTGACAATAAACAAGTGTCCTACAGCTCCTTGAAACTTCGAGGAGTCAAAATACCAAGTCCATAAACTCTCTGGTCTGACAACTCTACCACTATCGGAATACAAATATTAGCCGCATCGTTATACAAGCCTTTTTTCTTCTTCTTCATACAACAATCATAATATGCATATGTTACTGACAGCTGAGACACTCGATCGAGAAGGTCAATATTTCTTATGTGAAAAAGTCCATTTACACATCAACAATCAGGAGACATTCTACAAGGACGTCCAGAAGGCCTGAATTCTGCCTGAAACCACAGCAGCACAATGAACCAAAAGAACTGGAGAATGTTTCCAAACAGACACTGATATAAAGATGCAGTGCACGGCTCGCTGTATCCACATAATCAGATATGTGCATTCATGCACGAATGTTTAATTATTAATACTTCCCTGGCAGGAACATCTTAATGTTGACGTCGAAGATTTGAGAAATATGAAACCAACTCATTACAGTTTTGCCACTGGTTTACTTCATTACTCCATCACAATATGGCTCCCTGCAGCTGTTCTCACTGTTGCAATTAAGATCAGTTTCTCTGGAATGATTCCCCTTTGACAAAGAGGTGACCTTCTCATCTGTATTAAAAAACATTTCAGGGCTTCGAGTAAATAAACAGCAGTTATGTGGTAGGAAGTCTGTCATCTTGTGAATACCTTATCGAGGTCTAAACCATTTCTTACCAACCGCAGCTGTCAGCCGCGTCTATCTTTATGTGGCTACATGGTGAATAAACAGTGCCTAATGACACACCATCCAAGAATCCCAGTCCTTTTGATGTTTATCTGCACAAAGTGGCTCCTCCGAGGAAATGCCCCGCGTTCTCGGAACAGTGCAATTCAAATGTGGTTAACAAGCACAGAAGCTAGCAAATCGCACACAGCGAGAATCCACAAAACCGATGGCACAGCATTTACCAGCCTTTTATTTCCCTCTTCCTCCACTGTCCTCACCCAAGCTGCAAGTGAGACAAAGAGACACCCCCACAGCCGCCTTCCACCACCCCTGCACACACATCACCACTGCTGCCGCTTTGATTTGAGACAGAGACGAGAGGAGGTGACAGGAAACACAGGGCCCAGTCAAAGCGTCTCGAGTCGGCGCTTCACACGGGAAAGAAGGTGACAGGATAAAAGGGCGGCGCACAGGGGACACAGTGAACATGTGACGGAGACATATATGTGTTCACGCTCTTCTAATCTTTAAATCAGCCCCATCAGCCACGCTGCGCTTCCTCTGCAAATTGCCTCGGCCTGATCTCAGTGAACACGCAGCCGTGTGAGTCAACTGGTGACTTTCTGATCGCAGCTCACAGCCAAGCCAATTTATTTTACAGTAAGTAGACCTATACCACCCTGAGCAAAACTTAAACAGCAATTTGAATCATGGTTTAGAATGTGTCTGTTGCCATTCTCTAAACAAAACCGGTCAAAAAAAGAGTATATGGACAAGCATTTATTCTCCTTGTGCAATCTTATTGTTGTACTATGTGTATGAACATATACGTATGATTGAATTATAATAATCAAGATTTGTGATCACGTGACCTCTTTAACGAGACAAGTTGTGCAACAATCTGAGCATTTCGTTCTGTTTTCAAAGTGTCAAAAACGCAGCATGCAAAGTCTCTGAGTCTCTGCATGTATTTAAATGACATCCTTACAAAGGTCTCAAGCAAGGTATTTAGTGGCCCCCTTGTGGCCATCAAATGGTTACGTCTGTGTGGTCCCACTCAGGGTCTGGGCATTGGCATGTTATACATAATTTTACAGGTCTTAAGAAAACAACCATGACATACAGTATATATCATCCAGTTGTGTTGGACATAGGATATTATCTGGCTCAGTATTGTGTCCCAGCAGTTTACAATACTAAGCCTCATTGCATTTTGTCCAGTTTTGTTGTATTGTGCTTGTTACTTACGTGGCAATAAAAATGATTCTGATTGATTTTTTGGTCCATACAAATAGATAAAACAAAAGTCTCATATTCAAAATCAACTCTCATATCCAATAAAAAACAAAAACAATCGGACAAATAATGTACTCTGTAAAACACTGTGTGCAATTTGTAAGGTTTTATGCAGCCCAGCTTTACAGACGAGACCTCGCCTGTGTCTGAAATGTAGTTTTAGACCCCTGTTCAAGAACATGTACAAATGGCTTTTACCGTCGCAGGTGGGTAGAGGGTGGCTCCACCAGTGGTTCTTCTCACAGACCAACGGTTCCTCGTGGCTGAGCCTATATCCAGAATCACACCCGAATGACACCGTCGATCCAATGGAGAAGTCCTGCCCGTATCTGATGCCATTGACAGGAATGCCGGGGTCCAAGCAGGAATAACTGTCCACCGTAACACCTGAATATTAACACAAAATTAAATCACTATCATAAAATGCTTATTTAGCCGCTCTACTTTCATCTTGTGTATTTGCATAATCTAGACTCAAGGGATTAAGCATTATACTCCCCAGGTAAGGCTCTATAATATGCAAGTGATGCTTTGTTTCATGGCTTGAAAATAATCTTCAAAGCTTGTCAAACAGCATATGGGGACCTACTGTCTGGAAGCATACCCTTATCTCTATGAGGAATAACATAGGAGAAGATATGGAGCATGCGAGGCCATCCACACATGCATTTTTACTAAATACATAGCTTTCATATCGAACATACTTTCATATAGTATTTTGAAGCCGGCGTTGGATCGGCTGTTATCTGTGGTGAAGAGCAGATAGAGGAAGTTGCTGCTGCTGAACAAGAACTGGGGGACCTGGGTGCCATTGAAAGAGCCGACCAGAGGAGAGAGGAGGTTGGGGCCGTCGTGGATCTCCAGGAAGTCGTATCCGAGCTCAGTTTGAAACCTAGAGCAGAGTTTACAGTCAATACGCATCAAGTGAGAGATGACTAATTATTATTATTATTTGTAATATCTGGTTCTACACACTGTCAACTTCATACTAGTTGTTGTTACATAACATGGATGATGCTGATACATCTCTTGATTGAATTGATGTAATGCTGGATTGGCGTTACTGAGAATTGCAGGCATCACCAAGGTTCAACAATTTAAGTTAACCCTTTAGGCACCAGTGTCTTTTTCGTAAATTTGTATGTGAAACAGACAAAAGGAAAGGATTAGAGGATCATTAAAATCAATTAAAGAAATAAACAAACAGAAATATATGCAAGAAAGATTCAGGGAAATGTTTGTGGGAAGCCAGGTCGCAAAATAGAAAGTGTCCTGGATTATGGAGCTCAATTAGCAAGTCTGCAACAGTGGCGCCAAAAGTGTAAGTAAGGTTTTGATGGTGTAGTATCTCTTGGTTTCAATGAAGTTCTGTAGTCTGCTTTCATTTCATATAATCATGCTAATTCAACCATTCATGTAAGAAAAATACAAACACATACACACAAGTTTTTTTTAACTCAATCATATTTGTTTTGTCGTAGTGTAATAGGCCAGACATAAACTCCACTAGCTTTCCACTCTTGATGGCTGTTTTAATGCCTGTAACTCGCTTTGGAACACTTGGGTCATTATAGCATATATGCCACCCACCTGTCAAATGTGATTTTGATTGAGCGTCCTGGTTCGGTTTCGATGACCCACTCGCAGTTGAGGGAATCTTTATAGTAACCAGGCCAGCCAGGGGACAGGATCACGCCATTAGGGGCAGAGTAATGACCTCCACATGGGGCTGTGAGAGAAGAGAGAGGACATTTAAACAGTGCAAGTGTGGGTTTTTCTTTGTAAAAATAGACGTGCAACGTGCTCAGTTGGGTACAGCATCAAGTACAGAGTGTCAGAGTTGAAATAAATACTTTAAAACGGCTAATTAGCATCTGTTAATGAGCTTATGACAAGTTGCAATGTTTTTGTAACTATCATTTTGTTCACACCAATACGTACAGTAATTGTTCTGTCTGATCAGTCAATCAGCCAGTTTATGAAAAAGACCTGACCTCCAAGGCAACATGCATTTCAGAAAAGTTGCTGTGAGTAAATTAGACTCAAGCTTTTGACCTTTTACAGTGTTTTTGTTTGTACTGTCATTTGTAAAATTCTATATTCAAAACACAAAAACAACCAAAATGAAATGAAATTAGTAGTTATACCTTTGACACATCGACAACACTATCCATAGCAACAGTATGCATATGGCACAGTCAAAGCGATTCACTTTAATAAGCTGAAAAGTGCCCGCAATTTCACTTATGTCAAAGAATGCACTTTAGAACTGCGCCAATAGATGGAGGTTATAGGTGCGCTACAGTAAGGACTCGCTTTTCATAATTATGTGCGCTGAGGCATGAAAAAAAGGGGTCATTATCTGCATTTTAACTGTATTTTTACCAGAAACAGTCAACGCCTATACTCTGGCATTATATACGCTCAACAATGGAGTTAATATTTACCTTCACATTTGGGGATGGGCCCGCTCCACATGACTTTGCCTTTCTCCAGCTGACATGTGATGGTCTCGCTCCCCTGCGTTTTGATGAATCCGTCCTCACACACCACCGAGATGGAGCTGCCGAGCTGGAAGCTGTCTCCGAAACGTCGCGCGTTGATGGGTATGCCGGGATCTGGGCACTCATTATGGCCAAACGCTGAAGAAAAAAAAGGTGGAAATGTGTAATTAAAGGAGATATTGAAATAGAATGAGCTTGCACAATATGGAGACACACTGCGCCAGACATACTGGAAGTTTTTTGTTGTCTCTTGATGTAACGTAATATTCTCATCTTTTCTCACGTCTGTTGAGATACAATTTAAGATTTTCTTGATATGCACTAATGGATCCATTTCTCAGCATAATTTCTCTTTCAAAATCTGATTGATGAAAGATTGAAAGGACTGATTATTCTCCAAAAATATTCAGCTTCCTATGCATATTGACTTGCAAATATAAAGTATGTTCCACTTTCAGGTAAAAATATTTACAGTAATTAACTTCTATACATCCCATTAACCTTGCATTTGAAGAATTCGACCCGTGTGGCAGATCGCAGCAGGTTTAATGCTGACATTCATTTTTTAAGGGTTTAATCCAGTGCCAAAATCACAGCAGGAAATTACTATTTTTTGACTGTTTTAAAAATCAAAACATGTCTTTCCTACACTTTGTATCAGTCATTCAGTTGCAAATTGACTAAAAAGAAGCTTGTTTTGCCAAAAGAAGATTTAAAAGTGTGTCTTTTATCCACCGTCTCCCAGAAAGAAACATCAATGATCATTTCAGACAACAATACAAGTGTACTTAGCCTACATTTATGAAAATCGTTAAAAGATCAATGCATGAAAACAAAGTCAATGTTTTTTATTTGCCGAACACGCTGCTCCCTTTTGTCTGTTAAATTAGCACTGTAAACCCTGACAAGTCAAGTTTACTTGAAAAAACCATGGAAAAAAATTGCGTATTAACTTCACTTGAATTCCTCGAGTAGTAAGTAAGTAAGTAAGTAAGTAAGCTTTATTTATATACCGCCTTTCACAGACCAGAGTCACAAAGCGGTTTACAATTGTTATTTTTTGGGCACTTGTCTCTCACTCCACACAGAGATGGGAGCGGGGTCGCCGAACAGGAGGCGCATGCCAGACCTATTGTACATATTTTTAGTGGTAGGGGAAACCGGAGTACCCGGAGGAAACCTACGCAGACACGGGGAGAACATGCAAACTCCACTCAGAAAGGCCCTGGTCCGGCCGGGATTCGAACCCAGGACCTTCTTGCTGAGAGGCGAGAGTGCTATCCACTCAGCCACCGTGCCGCAGTACATCGTTTACTTGATATTATCAAGTAAACTCGAGTGATTGCAATAAAGTTTAAATTTCTACTTATGGTCCGACCGGGATTCGTACTCAGTACCCTGTAGTTGAGAGGCAATGGTGCTACCCACTCAGCCACCAAGACACCCTGCCATTGTCACACCTGCCTCATTAAAGAGTCTACACATCAAAATGTCAAAAGTGAGGCTTACTTGAACAGAAACAGTTCAATTCAAAGAAAACCCTGAGTGATATAGCCAAGCTTTAAATAAACTAACAATAAATGAGTAATATCTACTTACTGGGAAAAATCTATTTAAAATAACTTTGATATCTGAAGTAGGATTGAAGTTAGGGTTTACAGTCTGAAGCTTCACTTTTCCACCACATGAAAAGACAGCACCGCCCCAAAACTCTACTTTGTTTTATAATTTGACACAGGTTAAAAAAGGATCATTTCCACAATTTGAACAAGTCTCAACACTCCTCTTTTGACAGAATTAGGTTTCCACAGTTTTTTCATGTTTAATTTAAAAGGAGAAACAACTAACATTTTGTATTTATCAGATGTCAAAGCTTTTGAATTTCCAATCTATATGTCTATTCTTATCAGTGCTGGCGTTCAGACGTTCTCACTCAAAACTTTGATCCTAATTAAGCTCATTTATGTTTAGTTTATTCTTGTCCACACACTATTGGGGACAAGAATAATCATAGAATGGCAAGTTATTGTATTTTCTTGTTAGTAGTAATCTTTGTTCTTGCACCGCATTTTGTTGACAAGATCACAAAAATGCTTTTGGTGTTTGTAGATTTTCACGACTCCCACTGATGACTGCTGTCGTTATGTCCTTGGGCAAGACACTTAACCCCACTTTGCCTGAAGCCCCCGCTGAAAGATCTCAGCTCCTGTGGACTCACCACCTGCAGGAGGATCAGTGAGGGGCTGGTGCTATGTGTACTGGGTGCAGCTCTGACTGCCATCCCCCGGACCCAGAAATGGATTGAGGGGAAGAAAATGGATGGATGGATGGATGGGTGTGAAACTGCAAAAATACATATTCAAAAGCATTTCCATAGCTCTAATGTTACAGCATGCTATAGAAATGGTTTCATTACATTAAAACAAAACATTTAGTATCACCATAAAATAAGACTAAACCTGTGCATTACTGCAGTATGAAAATAATCATGTACTTTTACATGACTCATTCTGCAGGGAAAAAAAAAGAAGATGAGTCCACGGGAGAATGGTTGCTTCTTGGTCTTTCAGCAGGGGATTAAACTGGGGTTAAAGGACAACTCACCTCAAATCCACTTATTTTTTTGCTGATAAACGGTATAAATGAGTGTCCAATAGTGTTATCTACATATCCTGGTCATAATTTCGTCACTTTGGTGCAAATTAGTTGAAAGTTAAACTTTCAGCCTAAAACCGTCTGTGAGGCGCCATCTGCTGGCGACCTGTGTTACTACATTTGAATTTTGAATCTGGCGCCAACACTGGCGCGGCAGCAAGACCTGACGTCTGAAGCAAGACCTGACGTCAGCAGCCCCCCGCCCAGAGCTATATAAACGGCCCAGTCTCGTTCACGCCCCCTTTAGTCCTCCAGGCTACGCCCATTTAGAGGAAGATTTGAACAGGAAATGTGAGTGACGTAAGCTCCGAGGAGCGGGGGTGAGAACCACTTTAAGTGTCTTGCCCAGGGACCCAACGACAGATGTCAGTGGGAGCAGATTAGTAGGTATCCTCCACTATGGGAATCCAACCCACAACCACCAGGCCCGAAGACCAATGCTCTACCAGCTGAGCCACCGTCGCCCTCGTGCAAAGAAGTAGTAAAAAGTCTCCAGTGTCTCCCCAAGTTTCCCCATTCAGCGATGAGGTGGGCCTAGATTTCCCTTCAGATTTTAATGAGGCTAAATATAGATAGCTCCTGTGTGGATCTGTCGGCTGCATTACTCATATAACAGAACTTTTTGCTAACTGAACAAAAACACGGAAGTTCTGTTTGATGTTGACAGAAATAGCCTTCATTAAATCTGAGGTTACTGATTCTCAACATGTGAAAGAAGGAAGGTGTAAATACTGATCAAACTCCAATGCATCAAAAAATATTAATAAACTTAATATCACCTAATAGGCACTAATATGTAATAACCCTGATGAATATCATTGTCATTAGCACATCTTAAAGCTACGGCACCTAATTTTTTAATACATTTTTATAATAAATTAACTTTATATAATAAATAAACTTTTCTTTGTTCCATCAAAAAAATCTTGTAAAAGTATGATGCTGTAAACAAATCTTAGTATACAAATAAAGTCACTTTTTGACATTTTGAGCTGAGAGCTGATTGGCTCGTAGGGTCCTTTATGTTTTCCCTTATTTGCCTGAAAAAGATAATCTAAAGATCTGACAGAGGCCAAAACGATGCATGTGACCAACTGTGGAACCAGATAGATACTGAGTGAGGAACTACTTGGAAGGATTTTTTTTTATTTAACCAGGTATTTCCATTTGTGGTGGTGTGAAAGCTAGATACCCCAGCTTTAAGAACCACTCAGGCATAGGGTAATAATAGGGTATGTAGCTGTAGCTGTAGGTATGTGTAGCTGTCTGATTTGTTGTTCTCCAAAGTAAACCAACTAAAAAAGGTTATGGTTGGATACCCCAGTTGAAAGCGAGCACGTACTGGTATAAGTGATGTTGAATCCTCTGCCCGACATGGAGTGGTCGGCCTGAAACTCCAGCCTGAGCGTGTGGGTGTTGGACGTCAGATGTGATGGACTCTCAGCTCCCGAAAACCTCCCGATCACGTTTGCATCATTGGTCTCCCCGTCTTTCACTGTCAGAGCATCGTAGGGCGCCTCCAGATCAAAGTCGTTAAATGCCAAGTGGATTCTGGAGCCTGGTTCGGACTGGACGAGCCAAACGCAGTTCATGTTGTTCCCATAGCCTTCTGGGTAATCCGGTGAGAGCACTGTTCCAGATGGTGCAGTGAAGTTCGACATGCATGGGACTGAAAACAAAGAAAAGTTTGGTTTAATTGTTGATTTTGAGCCATGAATTTATTCTGTTTCAGACAAGTCTTGTTACAATGACTGGTTATGGTACTTGATTGGTAGTGGTAGTATGAAACCTTTAGGCACCAAATTAAAAGAATCGGTAAATGAGGTCCTTGAATCAAAGACACTCTCTTTACAACATGGCTTCCCACAAACATTTCCCTACAATTTTTTCCTTATACTTCTGTGTGTTATTGATTATTTTAGTAGCCTTTTGTCTCTTATAACATTTCAGGGCTGCACCTTCTCATAATGCTATGACTATAGGATAAACAAATCGTATGTGCACATGACATGCATGCATGGCTCAACAGATCAGAGAATCAAACAGCAGGTTTGACAATGTCTATAAATGTTAAAACATGTGCATAAATGTCATAAAATATCCCAAATTATCACTGTCATTAGATCCTCTTGCATCAGCAAGGAACGACAAAAAAAAAAAAAAAAAAAACCCAGTGGGTTATTGTGGTAAGCATACCAAACTGAGCCAAATGCTAAAAAGGAAAAGACAAAGAAAAAAGAAGAATTCCATGCACATGTACCAAACGCTTCATGTGAATAAAACCCATGAAAAAAATCAAAAGCCACAAAAATATGCATCAAAATGCAAAAGACTGGAATGAACAATTGAGACTTTGATGGTGAGTAAAAAGAGTCCTAGTAAATATTCATCTCCAGCGTCATCGGTCATCGTTAGCTCCGGGCCATCATAAACTCAGAGCTGTCAGCATCACCATGGCAACAGCTCAGACCAAATGATTTCATCACTGCATCCTGACACTGTATAATCGTCACTCGCAGCGACACTGTATAAGATGGAAATGTCTGAAGTATACTCACATATGCATATAGGGATATTGCCAGACCATTGGTTGTTGTCCTGGCAGGATATGGTCTTCTCTCCAATTAACTCAAACCCAAATTGGCACTCGAACCTCAGAATCCCTCCATTTGAGAAGCTGTCCCCCTCTCGTACGCCGTACAGAGGCGTGCCGGGGTCTCCGCAGCTCTCTTTGTCGATTTCTGTGATGAGAAAGGTTTATAAGTAGACATTAACCTGCATGTCATCCTCACTGATCAGGACAAATGACCCCTCGTAACATCCATCTTGACCTTGCCTAATATGGTTATTGAGCAGGTCCATTTGTTTCGCTTACAAAATAAAACATGTCCATGGAGTGAGGCTTGAGGGAAAGTATTTTGACTACAGCGCACTGAAATGAATACTAAAATGTGTATTAAAAAAAACAAGAAAACAAGAGTAGAGAAAAGACATGTACAGATATGCTGCCTATATTGTATAATACTCAGGGTAATCTTCTGTAATTAACAAAATGCTGCTCTGCTCCACAATACAACCACCAAACATGCTAATTAACACAGCAATTGTAGTTTAGCGCGTTCATTACTCATTAGGGATCATTTACACACCTACACAAGCGCATCATTTACAGCCTAAAATGCTCTGTTTCTACAACATTTTCAGTGATAATTGAAGAGATTATCTGATGTATTTTTTTCTTTTAAGTAGAAGAGAAGCACACACTAAGATAACTCATGATGACCACTGCGGTGGAACGTGTTGGCGTCCATACTAATAAACTAATAAAGACAGTGTGCCTCAGGTTTCTCTTCCTCCTCACACATATTTCTCTTGCAACTTTTGGGGTTTCCATGAACATAACTCTCGCTGATTAACAAAGTATGCACATTCATTAGGACAACAAGATTCAAGATCATGCATATTATGAAGGCAGTTGAATACATGAGTAGAGATTGACAATGAGAAAAAACCCGTGGCTAAAATGTCGTAGTGTGTGACATGTGCACAAAGCCAAAAGCCAAAAGGGGGGCTGAGTGGATAGCACTCTCGCATCTCAGCCTGAAGGTCCTAGGTTTGAATCCCGGTCGGAACAGGGCCTTTCTGAGTGGAGTTTGTATGTTCTCCCCGTGTCTACGTAGGTTTCCTCCGGATGCTCCGGTCTCTCCTACTACTAAAAACATGTACAACAGGTCAGGCACAGCCCTGTTTGCCACCCTCAATCCCATCTCTGTGTGGAGTGAGAGATAAATTACATAAACAATGATTACTTTCTAACAAACAGTATAACCCCTTTTATTCAGGTGTCCACACCATTGACAGTTTCCACACTTCCGGTTCCACTTGCATGCTAAACATTTTCTATTTCCTTCATGAATTCCATGGAAATCTGTTGAGCAGTTTCCTTTATCGCTACTTAAAAAAGTAACAAGTTGACTTTTCAGTATGCAGACAGTGCCCTCATGTGGGGAGATTCCAATGAACAAATCAAACTATTTCAGCCCATTGTGAGATTTATGGTCTTACCAGCTGAATGGATGGAACTCGGGTGGCTGTGTCAGGCCTTTTTTGCACTCTCTCTAAAATACTATCCTCTTTTGTGGAGAAAACTCTTTGATATTCAATTTAACAATGGGAATTCAAAGGTTGAATGTTAACTTATATATGATGAGTATTTTCAGAACACTGGCCTCTTTTCCCCTGTCTGCCGCCACCTCACTCCCCTGCCATCATTTTCCCATTTCCAGTCTTATTTACAGGAGTAGCCCATGGCACGGTCCAACTCTGTGTTTGGTGCTGTTAGCGTGCGTGGGAGTGTGATTTTATTTTTTTCTGCTCCGGCTCTGTGCTTGTGATGTATTGCATTAATTTCCATCATGACATTGCCTTTATGAGAGCCGCCGCTTCGACCAATCACAGACGTCCAAATACACAAGGCCCGGCACACAAACCGCCACGAACAGAGCTATAGACGAGAATGGAGAACAGATTGTTTTGGCGAGACGCAGTTTAAACAGAGCAGCATAACTTCACACCGGGGGACATGTCGGCTGCTTTTAAATCCAGATCAATGCTCCCCATAGACAGAAAAAATATTACAAAACAATATTTATATATATACATCATAATGTCAATGGCATCTCTTTAAGGGCAAAACAATATGCTATTACACACAAACAGATTAAAAATGAGTCAGGGTTTTACCAAATATTCTATTATGGACATAGCATTGGCATACAATTGGTTACTTTTTCTTCATAAAGTAATTATATGCAAAAGTATTTTCAACAAAACCTGCAACAATGAATGAATAAAGGCTTGAAAATGTGAAGGTGAATTTGTGACAGTAAACAAACAAATCATTTAACATTTAGCAAACCAGCGCATGCAATTACGCTACCTTTTTATACATCGTAATTAAGTCTTACGAATTCAATCATATGAGGTAACATTTTCAGTCTATAATTAGATGAAAAATGCATTTACAATAAGGTTAACTGTTCAACCAGTGATAAATGAGTAGATCCAGTATGTTACAATATTTTAAGCTGATTGATAAAAAAGGGTGTAGCTGAAAGCGACTTGTTCACACTGTGGGCAATGATGGGTAGATATATACAAGCAAAAATGTCTAAATATTGCAATCTGGCCTTTCTTTTTGGTTCTTGCCATTTCCAAACCTGACCAGTGTGGAGCGCTTGGGGATTGATTTGAACAGTGCAGAAGAAAACTGTCAATGTTTCTGTTCTCATTAAGTCAAACAATCCCTATCCTGTCTTGTTACGCACATTTGTCCTTTATTCCCAACTTTGTAGTTCTCAAATGTGCTCAACGCGGCTGAAAATTGGCCAGTAAAAAGATGCTCCGTTTGATCTTTGTAGGAGACTCTCTAAGTTGACCTCCGATGAAATTCAGAAATTAGATTTTTGCTTTGATCTTTGACTCAATTTGTTTGCATATTTTTTGGCAGTCCGTGTTTATTTTCCCAAAAACAGTTGGTAAGAACATAGAGATACATGAAAAGTTATCCTGCAGTTAAATTAATATTGATTTTGTGTCTAGATTTCCAGGAAGAAAGTACATGTTTATTTATACACATGACTAGGGACCAGTAAATGATTCAAAACTAAAAAATCCCACCACATGTTACCAATACACAATAGTCACCCGACCAAAACAAAGGAAAGTAAAGTAATAAATGCATAGAACGAGCACTTTTAAAGAAGGTTAAACAAGCCCTTCCCTCTCTAATGATCTTTTAACCATCTGGAGCTGCTTTACACTTGACAAACAGGTTTCAGAATGGTGTCTTTGTTGTTAAGCACAGCACTTCTCCAGCCCATTGACTTCTCTTCAAAGCGTTTCACATTCTAAGGGCGGTGCTTACTGATTGAAAATAGTCACAAGAATGAATTGCATTAGCCGGTGTTAATTTTACCCAAAGCTTGGGCCTTCATGAAGCCATACATATTAGGCATTTGATTTGTTTTTAGGTTTTTTTTTTTTTTTAATGCCACAGCGAAGAAATATACATCAATAATCATTAGCATTGAACTGTGAGAATCAGTAAAAAAGAAAAGAAAAGAAAGTCCATTCCAGTTTGTGCTGTGCCTTATGAAACAGCTGGGGCATCAGTCGTCATTTAAGTCATTTTGGGTGGTTTAAAATGTCCATAAACAAAGTATTTTTGTTAAAGAAATTGAAGCCAGAGCAAGAGGAATGTTTAGCAAATTTCATTGCTGGCAAAGATGTTGTGGCTCTACTCCCTGCGGGCTCTGATAGTGGCATAGAGATGGCTAAAGCTAGGCTCAATGCTAAAGCTAGGCTCAATGCTAAAGCTTGGCTAAATGCTAAATGCCTCACTCACTCGGGCGTATCACCTACGCTCGAGTGAGTAAGCAGTTACACTCAGATCCAATCCTTTCAATCTGCAAAAGGAGTTAACCCCTCCCACCTGTTTCCAGACACAAGTACAAATTAAAATTAGTACGATGGTTTGGTAAGACCAGGCTAGGGTTTTGTGAACGCACTCGCAGATCCTGAGACCTTCGCGCTGTTCCTTGTGTGAGGCTGCAGGTGGGGTAAGCAGCTTTCTCCCATTATGCTACTTGTAAATTGAAGACTTTGCAAAATTATATAAGATGCAAAAACAAAAGATGAATGACTTTAGCAAGAGATATGGCAGTGCCCTTATGCTCTTATTAGTCTATTTGTGCTTTCTTACACTGTGTTTGTCAAGCGCATTGAGTTGCTGTAAAATGTGCTATTTAAATAAAACCTATGAATACCAATATACTTTTTTGTGTTTAGAATGTTCATTGTCAAGCTGCAGCTAAGGAACGTGTTGGGACTTTACACCCTAAAAGTGGTAAGTGTTTATTCTTATTCTGTCCACTTTGGAAGTACCAATAGCAATACTGTTTTCTGTGCAGTTTTCTGCGCATTGTGTCAATTATTCATGAAAGGAAAATGAAATCCTGTTTACACCTTTGTGATTAAGTAACTTCCGTCCATGGACTCTCACACACACACACGATGTATATACACTTTCAGGTCCACCATTTCTCCTCTACTGCTGCTCCTGCTGCGGCCGAGGGTATGGACTGTAAAATTGCAGCACTTTTTGGTCACGTTGGGGATGAATTTTTCATGAATTCGTATTTCATGGTCTTTCCTCCAGTCTGAATGAAATTCTGTTTAGTGTGGTGTGATTAAGGCAGTGCTGCTCAGTACATAGACAGCACTCTTGGATTGTGACAGTCCCAGTGGTACAGCAGCAGCCAGCACAATTCCCACATCCACAGAGGACATTTACACTATTACTAAGACTTGGCGTGGTTGCATAAAGGTTTCTGGGCAAATGTTAACAATAACAAAAAATATCTATTGTTTTAGAGACAGAGTTTTGATGCTTTGTGGTGGGAAGTTGGAATGTATGTTTTTGCAATATGGCATTAAATAGTCTCCATTGAGACAGGTAAATGGTGTTATAGCAGGCCCACATTACAGGTTGGATCAAATTAAAACCCACACTCATTAAAACACCTGAAATCCAATGAATCATAAGAGCAAATTATGTTTAATGTTGACTGTGCAACATTCCAGCCAAAGCCAAATACTTCTTTATAAAAGCTGGTACACCCGTCACTTCATCTTTGAGAGCTGGCAAATAGTTTCATGCAGAAAACGAACATGTCTAAGG